TTGGCTTTGAGAGAAGCCTTTGGAGTGGTTGAGTTTGGACACGTCCAAGAGAGCAGAGGATAATTGAAGATCCGAATGCAATGAGTTCGAAACCACCAGTTGAAGAAGAGAGATGGCTTCATCAACATCTCCTCTGTTAACGAGGTTGTTGACCTCCGGTGTGTACCTTCTTCTTCCATTTTGTTGCCCTTTACAAACTAGGTTGGTTTGTGATTTTTGATGGGTTAGTGTTGTTTAAGCACGAATTGTTGTCAAAACATGTAAAACGTGTTGTTACTTGTTATATTTGGTACAGGGCTTCTCTATGGGCATTGTATTTGTATGTTTCTATATGTTATGTTTTTGGCAAGAGCTCTGGCTTGGGTATGAGGGAATTTTGAATAATATGATTAACCCTTATTGTGCTGAACTTTAATCTCTACTCTTGGTAGGATTCGTCTTGCGAAGCTCAACTCATTGTCTGAAATTGTTGAACTACATGGTTAATTGGCAAATCATGATTGTTGGCATATTTTAATGTACAACCATATCTGTGCCTATGGAATTGAATAGTGTAACTGCAAAATGTTGCTCACTATAGCGAAGTGTACAGAATTGAATTGTTTATATGTTACATACTATTTATGAAATTCAACTAGTCTAAATTCTTTCATTGTTTTATAGAAGCTTTTACAGTTATATGTTTTAGCTTATTCATTTGTATTGTTTTGTGTAGGACTCTGTCAACGGCATATATTCACTCATTCCGTTTCACCTAACTCAACGTGCAAATGTGGATCTTGAAATGGATATTTTGAGTCCAGCAACCAGGGTTATTTCAATGGCAGAGAAGATTACTTCAGAACACGCCAAGACTCAGGTATAAAATAAAAAAAAAAACATTGCCCAACTGTCTTCCCTTTGGCATATCCTCCTGTTGTATTTGACAGAATACCAATATGCCTTCTGTGTTGCACAGTAGGAATTTTTTTTTGTTTTGTCAATTTAAGTTTGCTTTTTATTCACCTCATCTTGGACCTGAACATATTATAGAAACAAGTTCATTGTAGGATATGGAATTTATATGGGTTAAGATTCTTTGTATATATATATATATATATATATATCAGTCTATGTATTGGTATTCGTGCAGGTGTCTACTTCTCCAGCTGCCTCCTTGATGCGTCCAAGTCAACTTGAAAAGATAACTTCCACTGGCATCCCTAGGTTGGCAAAGAGGAGAAAAGCAATCGGCGACATCAACAATTCTATATCATCAACGAATACAAGCAATGATGAACTGGAGTTGGAAATTTAACTTCAAAAATGACGGCCCTCAAACTCAGAAAGATGAAGAAATCGAACCAGCTGCTGCTCTCTCTGCATCCCATAATGTTGTGCCTGACAACCGTCAGCCAATAAGGGAGGCTAATGAAGCATCAAATATTGTTTGGATCAGACCAGGAGGGAGTGCCAACAATGGTAACCAGAGGGAAGAGCATCAAGGCCAAACTTTTAGTCTTAACCTAATGGGAATGGCTGAAATGTTCGACGACTACCCTTGTGATCTCAATGAGGTTGGAACTTCTCCTAATTCTGCTTTTGTCACAGTTAATGGATGCGAAGTGAAGCTAGAATGGGCACCTCTCCTTAACGCCATATTTTTGAAACATGGAGATATTGCTAAAGATTGCTCTTTGATGAGTATTACATCTCGTTCATCTCTCTTGGGCTCAGCTCAGTTTGGTTAAATGGAAATAAGTTAAAAAAGAAAAGAAATAGAAAGTAAAAGAAAAGTGAAGTGATTGAAAAGAAAAAAGATTTTCTAATTTGCATTTGATTAGTATGAAAATTTATTCATGAAAATTGTAGAAAAATAATAGTTTGTTAGTTTGGATAGAATGAAAATGAAAAGAAAGTGATTATGCATACTAAAACTACTCTTACGAAGTAAAATGATGAATTGTTAAATTCAAATATATAGTTGTTTATATTCAGTTCTATTATTTATATTTAGAATAAGGCTCCATAATATTTTCTAGGTAAAACTAATTATTAGTTTAAGATAGACAAATTAAAAAAAAAAAATTAGAGACGAAGAGGCAATATTACTCTTTGGGAGAAAAATTAAATATTTCACCATATAAAAGATATATATATATATATATATATATCCATACCGAATTATGAATAGATAGAATTGCAACATAAAACAGAGGATTAAAAAATAAAAAATTCTATTTAGAAGCAAGATTTATTTTATCATGAATTTGGTTAGTATTAAAGTCTTTCGAGAAAGTTATGATAAAATATGATTTTGTCAATTTGGGTCGGATGAAAGTAAAAATAAAATGATTCTACTTATCAAAATTTCTTTTACATCAGTTAAAATTTTAAAAATAGATATTGTGCAATAGATGATAAAAAAAATAAAAATAAATAAGGCAACTAATTTTTAAAAGTTGGATTACACATAATTAGAGAGCAGAAGCTCAACTAAATATTAATATTTTTTTTCTTTTATTTTTGAACCTTCGCATTAGATACGTGGATTACATTAAAAAAGATGCACCTATCCTATTTTATTGAAAGAAAGAAAATTATTGCTTCATAAAAATAGTCGTTGAAAACTTACAAAGTCACAAAAGAGAGAGTTACCCAACAACAATTACAAACAAGTTAGTTGGATAAAATAGGAAAGTCAAATAAAAGGGAGTCCTTCCATGAGAAAATAATATTTTCGCGCTTGTTTTGTGCGTGAAAATTTTTGGGGACAAATAGACAGATATGGGAAACCAGATTTTCTCTTTCTTTTCTTTTTCCTTCTATCCAAACTCCAAAAAAGTTTAAAAATTTTCTCTTTCTTTTCTTTTCTAGTTGATTCCACCTAACCAAACGAAGCCTTAGAGATAATATGTGGCATTATCCAGAAATTACAGGATAATTCACACGTATCACACATGAAGACCTAAAATCCATGCTCGATCAAGTTCATGATTTGGAAACTGTAAAGATGGAAGTTGGATGGCTGCATCAGAGGCTGGATGATATTTTTAAGGCCACACGGCTCTTCAGGGGCTATTCCATCCTAAAGGAGGAGCAGCAGAGAAAAGTTGGAGTCATTGAGAAAAAAGAGGAAGAGGTAAAAAGCTTCAAGATGGAGATTGTAGATTTACAGGAGAAGATTCGAACTTTAAAGGGGAAAGTCCTTTTAGCAGAGGATGAGCTGCCTCCAATGAAGGCCGAGGCTGAGAAGATCGACGAGACAGTCTCAGAGACGAAGGCAAAAATGAAATGTTTTTACCAAAGGTCTTTGGTGCATGGCCTAATTTAGTTTAATCTCATCCTGATAACTTTTTTGGTTTGTTGTACTTGCCAAAAATCAAAACTTTCTTTGGCTTTTTTGGAATGTCTTTCAAGATAGATGTTTATACTTAGAGCTTAAGAACCATTTAAGCCTAACAAATTATACTATATATGATTGATGACAGGTTTGATTATTCAAGCAATGCTGAATGAACTGTAATGGTAGTGGCTATGTGTGTGTATTTGTTGTTGGGTTGAGGGCATTGTTGGAATACTTATTAGCCTTCTGTTGTTAGAAACATATTGCTTCTTTCATCTTTCTTGGTTTGTTTGATGCATTCAAAGTTTCAAGATAATGTAGCTTGTTTTCTTTCTTCTTTCTTTTGTGTGTTTGATGTTCAAGATATTGTTAAACTGGTGGTATAAATGGCATTATTTAGGATAAATCTTGAGGCACAATAAATACAATTTTTTCACTTTTGTGTTAATATTGGCAACTTCTAGTTGGGGCCAATAGTGCATAAACAATTAAACATCCAGTTTATTCTTTTTTTTCTCTTATTGATTTTCATATCTAAAGGAATAACGGGGACTGAAAGTCTGAAACCATCAACTTTGGACCAGGCTAATCACTTGATGGACTCATTTTTGTCAAAAATAAAAAAATAAATATATATTTTACTTGAAAAAGAAAATATTTTTTTTGTATATTTTACTTGAAAAAAAAAAAAATCGAACAGACTTACAAATAATTCATGTAATGTAATTGTCACTTTCTTTAATCTTCCTCTTGCAATTGTACGAATAATTCATGTTTTTATAATTTCTTTGTTGTATAATTCTACATCAATAAGACTTGAGTAGTATATAATAAATTAAAGGTAAAGTGTAAAAAAAACCCCTTCAATTATAAGCAGATTAGCATAAAACTCCGTGAACTACAAAATGTGCAAAAAAAAAAAAATCCCTTAAACTATTCTATTTTGTTGCAAATTACCCATTCCGGAAAGTTTCCGTTCAAAGGACGCACAATATATAATATAGAGACCATAATACCCTTATTACATGAAAAGACAAATAATGTCTTGTGACCACTATACCCAAACAGCCCCTTCTGTCTAACATATATATAATTATATATATATATATATATATATACACACAAATATATAGCTAAATCCCTGTTCATCTTCTTCACAACACATTATATACATATCAATCTTGTTACCGTTCTCTCTCTTCCCCACCTCCATCGCCTATGATCCTATCTACCAACCAATAGTTTTTTTTTTTTTTTTTTTTTTTTTTTTTTTTTTTTTTTTTCTGGCGCCAAGTTGCCAACATAATATTGAAGAGGACGAGAGAAATTTTTAAAGTTAATTAAACAGGAAGAGAGTTAAAAAAATTATAAAATATATGTATATTGATATATAGGAGATATGAAAGAATCAGACCTTATATAGATATATATGTATATATATATGGAAACCCAATTAAGAAAGGATCAACTTATATGTATATATATGGAGAATAAGATCCCATATACTATGTATATAAATATATATTCTTAATCAGACCTTATCCGACAGATATATATATATACCCACCACACACTCTATATATATATATATATATAATATATACACAGAGTTTCGCAACCCAACCCTGTTATATATATAAGAAGAACTTCAGTATTCTTCTGATTGCCACTGTATTCTTCTCTGATACAAGTTGTAACTCATCTGTATTTAGATTTTTTTTTTTTAACAGGTCTGTGATAAAGGTTGGGTGATCAGGTTGGCTGAGTTGTCCATATAGATGGTTGAGTTGTCTCATTTTGATTGGCTATTGAGATTGTTAGCAGCCATGTCATCAACTCAAGTGTATAACTTTCAAAACTACATAGTTTTAAATAAGGGTAAATGCGTCTTTTAATTTTTCCAATCAAGTTAGTTACCGAATTGTCCTTAAATTATACCAGATCAATAGTGTATGGGGCAAGTCTTAATTAAAGGGAGTTATTTGTAAAAGATTAATAGTTAAAGAAGGTTTATTATACTTTATTCATAAATTAACAATACTCTTTGAGCTATATATTCAGCTTCCTACTTAAAAAAAAAAAAAAAAAAAAAAAAAATTTCATCAGATGCTGCCACGTCATAAATTATGTGGCAACATCTTACGAAGAGGACCAACCAAAATCGTACGAGGTAGCCACGTGGGAAACTATTTCAGAAAGAAAGAAAAAAAAGACTAACAAGTTGGTAACAGTTGTCGAACCACGTGACTTTTGTACCAAAAACGTATATAAGGAAATTGAGCTTCAGAGAATGAGTACTCTACAAATAGAAGTTGATAGAGATCGAGTTAGAGAGAGAGAGAGAGAGAGAGAGAGAGAGAGAGAGATGGGTCTTTTGATTCAAAACCAAAACAGAGGTAGAGAGAGAAAAAAATCTCTGTCATTTTCTAAGCCCGGCAGAGTGAGAAGGTTAGAGAGAGAGAGAGACAGAGGGTTGGTCTTTGATTCAAAACGAAAAGAGAGGTAGAGAGAGAGAGTCTGCCATTTCTAAGACCAGAAGAGTGAGAAGGTGTGTGAGAGAGAAAGAAGAGAGAGATGGTTAAGAAAGAAAGAGGTAGAAAAAGAAAAGAAGAAGATGATTCATCTGCTGAATGGCAAGTAGAGTCCGGCGAACAGATGTCATCTAATCAGGTAACCCATCTCTCTCTCTCTCTCTATATATATATATATCTGCGTGTGTGTGTGTGTGTTTTGTTCAGTGAAAAGTATGAGCCAAAGGGAGTAGAAAATGCTCTGATTGGATATGGTTTCTTTCATATTATGTGTGTTTGTGTGTGTGTTCAGTGGAGGAGCAAGAATTTAGTTCAATAGGGGCAACCATCGACAATGATATGGTAGCAAAATTTTGAACCAAAATAATAAATAGCAACAAAGGGGTTTTCCTAAATTTTGATTCTTAAAATTTTGCAGGGCACACTAGAGGAGAAAAAATATGGGCTTTTTTTTTTTTTTTTAATTTTGAAATTTTTGTTGGGCAAATGAGTTAGAAAATGAGAGGTCTTTCTGAATTTTGAAAGTTTTCTTAGGTTTTTTTTGTGAATTTTTTAGGAGCTCAACAGGGCAACTTTTGTAATTATGAAGATTTGTGTATTGAAAATACAAAGACCAGAAATTCAATAGCAAAGAAGTCTTTTCTGAATTTTGATTCTTAAACATGGGTTTTTTTTTCTTCCTGAATTTGAGAATCTTGTTTGACGAATGAGTTAAAAAAATGAGGGATGATTTTGACTTTTGCAAGTTTTTTAAAGGTCTTTTATGAAAATTTTAAAAGTTCAGTGGGGACACTTTTAGAATTATCAGAACTTATGCATAGAAAATAAAAATAAAAGGAAATTCTAGTGGTGGCAATTGCCCCTACTGGTCCTAACGTGGCTCCGCCACTTTGTGTGTATGTTTTTCTTCCGGTGAAAATTCTCTTGATAGGAACAGGTTTTTTCATATTATATATATATATCAAATACTGACCCATATATTTCAATATGAACCAGATAGTTGAAATTTAAGTCTTTGTTTAGTTGAGTTGTGGACACATATATTCTAGTACAACACATTGTGCTGTCAATTGATTGCTTGCTTATCTATGTGAATTTGTGATTGGGAAAAAATCATAGTTAAAAGGGTTGTGAAAGCTTGATATGCATTGTTGCACTCATTCCTTTTAATGTCTTAAACTTTCAAGACGGGTAGTTTAACATTGCCTATTTTGGATCTTCTGGGGCTGTGAATGAATTATGCACGAATCAATCATTTCAGGAGTGTACAGAACTCAAAAATCAAGCGTTGGCTGTCAGAACTGTTTGATTTAAAAGTAGACTGATTGACCTTTTGCTGCTACTCGTACTATTAATACTGATCTAAATGAAATTGGAGACATCCTGAAGCAAGACCTTAGAATGTATATAATAAAATTTGTTATTTTTTATTTTTTATCCATTCATATGAAGAAAAAGAAAACTGGTGATGGAGGTGACCTTTTTTTTTTTTTTTTTTTTTGGGTGGTTTGGCCATATTAGTAGAGTTTGTTGCTGGTGATATTGGTGGTTGAGGGTGTGAGTGGTGGGGGAAGGATGAATCTGGTTGTAAATAAGTTGGAAAGTTGATGGTGGTCTTGTTGGTGGTTAAAATGGTGGTGATATTTATTGGTGGCAGTGGATTCGAACTAAAAGTGGCCGGTGATGGGTGGGGTGGAGGGTTAATGGTTGTGTATGTAGGTTGCTGAATCATGTGGTGAGCATGGAATTGGGTCAATGGTGAACTAAAAGTGGAGGTGGTTGTGGTGGTTATGGCGGTTATGGACAGCAGGTTTTGTTGCTATATTTTTTTCTGGTTGTTGTGTGTGCGCATGCTAGCAAAGTATAATAACACCATATAAAGTAAAAATAAAGATCCACAATACCAAATATTGAAAAGAATGAGGAAGAAAAAGGTGGTACAAATTTAGCATTCCCTGCACATAACCTTAGATGAGGTCCCAGTAATTGTTACAGCCTTACTGGAAGTCGATCTAATTTATCCTAGTTTAAAGTATCAGTTTGTCCAGTGAAACCACGAGATTTCAGTTGTGGATTGAACTAACATTATAGGAGCCCTATTTTGATAGCCAGGAAAATTACAATTGCAGAAAGTGGAAATCTGATCAAGACACTGGCATTTCACCAATTTTAATCAAATTTTCATGAAATTAACAGTTGAAAAAGAAGAAGGGAAATTCAAAATAATAAACAACAAAATTTGTTTTTTTTCCCAGCTCCATATTTAGGTTGAGATCTTTGATACTGCTGGTCTTCCAAAGAAACTTGATTGCAAACTAAATAGAGTTGTTGACTGACTTATGATATGCATATGATTTTTTAGTTTTAAGGCTGTTTTTAACCTCCCCGAGTAAAACTAGTATCATTTAGTGCAATGGGTTGCCCCAAAGTTCTTAAATAAACAAATATAGAGTCTATAACTTAAAGCCCACCTTATTAAATTAATCTTTGATTTATAAATCAACCATGAAGTTGGTTAGAAAGTAACTTTCTTCATATATTATTTGTTTAAATTTTTTTGTTGATATCAACATTAGTGCATTCCGTTACTTGAGTTGAGAGTACCACAACTTGTTTTATTTTCCTTTTGTCATTCTGGTATTGAATAACACAGCTTTTTGCATGAACACTACATGTTATTCTATGCAAAGAATTCTCCTTAACTCAATTAGAATAACAAAGCTTTTTTTTTTCCCACTTGCTATTATGGTATTGAATAACACAGTTTTTTTAGTTTTATGTTCTGATGAATTGGTATCGTTTGAGTAGGACTCTTTCAACTGTCCGGCACAAATTTCACCTGTGCCGTCTAGATACCAAACCCGAAATGCAAAGGCAGGTCTTGGTCAGGGTTCTACTTCAAGATATTCAAAGCAAAGCCCCATTCAGACTCAGGTTTAAAGAAAAGCACTGCCCTTCCTTTTGGCATATCTGTCAGTTGTTTTTGACTGGATATCAATACTATATAAGATATAAATTTGTAGTGGTTACTAGCTCACACATTGACATTCTACACTAGGAATCTATTTGTTTTTGTTAATTTACGTTTGCTTTTGATTCATCCCATAGGTCACTCCCAATCCTACTGGCACCCCAAGGTTGGCAAAGACCGAAAAAAATATGGGCAACTCCAATTTTGCATCAAAATCAAATACAAGCAATGATGAAGCGGAAGTGGAAAGTTACATTTCCAAAGTGATTTTCCCTGAAGCTCGTGCCCAACCAGCTGCTGCTCTCTCTGCATCCAATGAGGCTGTGTCGAACAACCATCAGCTACTAATCGAGGCTAATGAAGCCTCAAATATAGTTGGGAGCAGACCAGAAGGGAGTGCCAACAATTGTAATCAAAGGGAAGAGCATCAAGGCCAAACGTCTAGTTTTAACCTAACGGGAATGGCTGAAATGTTGGATGATGATGACTCTTGTGATCTCAATGAGGTTGGATCTTCTTATGATTCTGCTTTGGTCATGGTTAATGGGTACAGAGTGAAGCCGGAATTGGCACCTCTCCTTAGAGCCATATTTTTGAAACATGGAGATATTGCTAAAGATTGCTCTTTGCTGAGTATTACAACTCGTTCATCTCTCTTGGATGTAATCTCTAGCATTGTCCAGAAGTTACAGGCTACAGAATTCAAACTTATCACTGCTGATGAGCTCACATCCTTGCTTGAGCAAGTTCGTGATCTAGAATCTGTAAAGATGGAAGTTGGATGGCTGCGTCAGAGGTTGGCTGATATTTCTGAGGCCATGCAGCTGTTCAAGGGCTATTCCAGCCTGAAGGGTGAACATAGAAGAAGAATTCAAGCCGTTGAGAAGAAAGAGGAAGAGTTAAAAAGCTTCCATAGGCAGATTCGAGTTTTACAGGAGAGGGTCATTTTAGCGGAGGATGAGTTGATTCCAATGAAGGCTGAAGCCGTGAAGATTGATGAGACGGTCTCAGAGACAAAGGCAAAAGTGAAATCCTTCTGTCAGAAGTCTTTGGTACATGGACTAATTTAGTTTAATCTCTCCATGACAAAACTGGTGGTTTGTTTTGACTGTCCTCCAAAATAGATATTTTTAACTTGGTAACCATTTGGGTCTTAGAAATTATACTATGTGTTTTCTGAGATACAATTAATGTTCTGTTTGGAACTCCTTTGCTGAAGTAGTAGTTACTGATTGCATTCTGAACATGTGTGCTGTGACCCGAAACTAGTCTTCGCTTCATTTATTTTCTTTTGATTCCCTTGTTTTTCATCTGATTTTCTTTTCCCTCTGTGTTTCCACCCAATTTTCGACTTCTATCTCTCTCCATGAATTTCTTTACAGACACCACTGATTTGGTTTAGCCTTTTGGGGATGCAATGATTTGCACCCAATATTATATTATTGCTACAAATTTTTTGAGTCCTGAGCATTTAGCTTCAATAATGAAGTGTTTCTACATATTCATGGACAAGTCCAAGTCCAAGTCCTCGGCAGGCTAAATCAGCTCTTGAATTGAAAAACCAAAGTAATGCAGAGTCCTCGAATTGGGCAACAAAGTCTGCAGGTTCAATGGCATTACCAAGAAGCATACCGGAAATGTAGAGAGAGGAGGAGCACAGTTTGAGAGTGTTCTCTTTCTTAAAGCTTATGAATACAACTAATGATTTCAACAGGTTGCTAAAGCTTGGAGAATGTTGTTTTGGGAGTGTATATAAAGGTACAACTAGGCCTCCAAAAGGTCTGGGTGATCTCTTGTGGTTGCTGTTAAAAAGCTGAACAAATATGGCTTGCAGGTATCAGCTCCTAGTTTCATTTTGTCGTACCATTTTTAGGAAATTTTGCTTCAAATATTGCCTTTTGGATTGGTTTGTTTATGATTGAGTGAATGTTGATCATTTATTGAGGCACTTATTTTTATTTATTTATTGGTGATTGGAAAGTTTGAATGAAAGGACATTTTATTGTTTCTGGGTAATTTACCGGGAAAATAAGTTGTTGAATAGGTGATAGAACAACAGGTATGGGACTAGTAGTCCATATGTCCTGCCTTATGAAGTAAATGGGTCAGAAATGTGGTTTTGGGGTAAGGACTATCGCGTGCGCCCAAAAAAAAAAAAAAAAAAAGGAAGAAGAAGCAGAGATTTGTAATCCAAAAATAAGATGTTTCAAATGCAGTTTGAAGAAGTAAATGGGGTGTCTTTAGCTAGGGCATTTGGGTTTAGATTGAGGGGTTCAAACATACAGTCAAATGCAATGCTCGGTGATCTTTTAGAAGATATTTTATACATATTCTGAATTGTTTTATGTACTTTTATTGATTAGGATTGGTTGGGGTATGCCCTTCAAATTCTGATTTTTTTTTATTTTTTATTTTGCTATTCAGATTTTTTGGATTTGTTCGCTAGCGTATGCCACTGATTAGCAGGTAGAGAAATCTGAATTCAGCTCTATGGACCTGAATGTTTATCTAGGGCTTTGTCCCAACTAATTTCCATGACAAAGCATCCTCTTTACACAGGTCGGCAAAGATCGAGCCTTCACCCGTTAGCGTGGACCCAAAAAATTGTTTGTACTCAAATATAGCCGAACCTCAGACCTAGGCCCAAGTGACTGATCACTTGAGCAAAGCCCTAAAAATACTAATTATCACTGGCCTAGGTCTAGGGTTCACTTTCATACCGCTAGAGTGACTAGGCTATATAATACTTGGTCCCTAACGAGCTTAGACGATCTTAGTATTGTATGAAGAATTTGAAGTTTTGAAGAACAACTTTGCACAAGAATGTGAAACCCCTAACTAACGAGACACTTCACTAGTTATGGGTGTAAATTGAGGCATACAAACTTGAGACAATTTAGATTAGTACAAGTCTGTAAATGATTGAGGATACTAGATAAATAGGTGCATATGATTTAATTTTTTTTTTACTCTGCTAATCTTTTCAAGACAATTGAAATTCTATTTTATGCTCATTATTCTCTAATTAACTTAATTTCTTTATAAATGTTGTATGAATTTTCGTTTTTGGAAAAATTGTTCGTTTAGCTATCAAATCTAATAATCAGTGTAGAAGTAACTAAGGTCACTGTGGTGCAATGATTCAAGTGACGCATTTGTGGCTTTATTATTTTTTGGATAACCATAATTTTTGAAAATTAATTATTTTCACCAGGTTTTCACTAAAATATAATTATACCTTTCTCTTGTGATTGATCAATTTTTATTTCTCAAGAGTAATTCATTTCTCTTCAAATTCTTTGTTGTAATGCCAGTCGTCCATTTCTATAACATTACCGCATGACTACGTTAATTTATCAAGGAGTATAATTCTAAATGCGCTCACAAATATGTAACTTTGCAACACTAGGGGCTCGTTTGGACTGTTTTTTAAATTTGCTGACAAAATTGATTTTTTCATTCTAACAACAACAACGTCAAATGAACTCTTCCGCTTTTCCTCTGACTTTATATAATAAGGTCAATTTCGATAATCATGTACAAATATTGAGATGTTCACCGAATAATTTGAAAAGTATTATATGAAAATAATACAATCAAAATTTCATACCAAAATTTATTTACAGTAACTCACGCAAATTAGTCAAAATTTTATATTTTTTTTCTTTTGATTTTATTTCACCATATTAAACTATTATTTTATCCTTTAATTTTATTTTATAGTACTTTGAGTTGATTTTTAAAATTTTTCATTTTACAATGAAATCAATTTAATATTCGCTGCGCAGTTTCTACATTATTGTTTTTTCTCCAAAATAAAGTAATTTGAAACCGATCATATAATAAATTTAGGGGTGATAAATTACGACACGACTCACCAATACGACCTGAACACTACACGAGATAAGTGGGTTAAAGTTGACCTTAAACAGGTTCAGATCATAAAAGAATTGACATGGTTAACCCATTTAGTTAACCGTGTCGAGTTAGAGTTAAAGGGGGTTCAACCAGTATGACCCGTTTATATTCGTTTAACTCATTTTGTCATAATCATGAATATAACCTATGTAATATGTTACATGTTTAAACTTAATTACTATGGACAATTAAATCATTTTAACATAAACCTTAATTAATTCTTACAATTTTTCTTTTTATTTTGAATATTTAGATTAATTGTGACAAATGTGTTTCTAGTATTATTATTTGATTGAATATTGAATGTATTGGTTTGATAAACAGGTTACGTTTAATAGATAAGTTGAGTTAATGTCAAGGGTTCTTAACATGATTATTAATAGGTCGGGTTTGAATTTACCTATTTACTAAAATACCACACGACACAATTATAATCCATAAACACGAATCGCAATCTTTTAACAAATGTCATGAAGTTGACCGCATAATAATTACTATTTTATATTGAAATTAAATATTTAATTCTACCTATTGCTTTGGAAACCATAAATCGTGACTTTAAAATTAGATTTGGATGGAATATAATTCAAATTTTAAACTAATTTTTTTTCTAATTTCAATGCCAAACTACCAAATATAGCACATAGTAATAACAACCTCCCTTAAAAATAAAAAAAATAAAAATAAAAAATAAAAAAACGGCGGAATGAAGCGTCTCATCAAAATTTGCCAAGTCATAATTTGTGGGTCATGGCAACTTCTGAAGAGGATGCCCACGAAATCGTATGGGGTTGCAAACTATTACAGAAAAATTGAAAACAAAAAAAAAAAAAATCATTAAGAGGGTAACAGTTGTCAAACCATGAAAAAGCAATAAAATGCGATTCAACTTCAGAAAATGAGCACTCTTCACAGGCTCATGAAATAGAATCGCTGCCATTTTCTCAGATCAGTAGAGAGAGAAAGGAATAGTGGTCTTTGATTCAAAAAGGGAGGGGAGAGAGAGAGAGCGCTAAAGAAAAGAGAAATGGGGAGGAGAGGGCGAGGAAGAAAAAGAAAAGAAAAATATGATTCATCTACTGAGGTAACCCGTCTGAGTGTGTGTATTTTTATGTGTTCTTTCAGTGAAAAATATTAGTCAATGGAGTACAAAATTCTCTGATAGGAATAGGGCTTCTTCATATTATTTGTGTGTGGGTTTATGTGTGTTTATGTGTTTCTTTTAGTGAAAAATATGCGCTAATGGACTATAAAATGCTCTGATAGCAACAGGGTTTCTTCATTTTGTGTGTGTGTGTGTTTATGTGTTTGGTTCAGTGAAAAATATGAGCCAATGGGGTAAAAAATACTCTGATAAGAGCAGGGTTTCTTTATATTGTGTGTTTGTGTGTGTATGCGCACGCGTGTTTGTGGGTTTCATTGAAAAATATGACCAATGGAGTTGAAAATGCTCTGATAGTATTCTCTATGTATGTGTAATTGTGTGTGTGTGTATATATATATATATATATATATATATATATATATGTCACCTTGTCTAAACCACATCATGTTTTCCTAGAAAATTTCTCTATCTTTCCCAAAAACCAGTGTCTTCTCTGAGATCCCAAGAATACAAAAGAAACCACGATTTCATACTTTACTTTTGTTTATTTTTCTATTAGAACTTGTTCTATTTTCCTTTATTTCCAGTGGATGCTTTATTTTTGCTGTATGTATGGGAATGCTTGTTTAATGTGTGATATAAAAATGCTTTCTATGAAAAGGCTCTTTTCTATAGTATTTCTTTTCCTTACTTATTTTCTTTTCCATTCTCTCTATTTCTGAGATAATTCTTTTTCTGATCCAATGAATAAAACCACCATTATGGAGCCAAAACCACTAATGTTGTTCCCCATCGAGTTAGTTCCAAAGCACCCACACTACCAACTTAACCATCTGCAACTTACACTCACTGGAACAACCAAACAGATCATCCACCATTTGCCTATGCATGTATATTTGTGTATGTATTGTGCCTGTGATCTTCATATATACAAAAATTTACACAAGCAATTATCAATACATCTGTACATAACATTTCATGATCCTTTCTTTACTCCATGTTAAAATTAAAGTGGCATTTAAATATTAAAGTGAAACCCCCTTTCTATCATTTTCAAGGAACATGAGAGGAAAAAAAAAATGGAAATGTCATATAAAAAAATGGAGTATTAATGTTCATTGCCTAGTTTGCCTCTGCTCTGGTCCTTGATTATCTTAATAGTATCATATTTTTTAGGTTCGGTTTGAACCACAATTCCATACTAATACTTTTACCTTAACATACTTAGCTATACTGTGCTGAACTGTGATCTCTACTCTTAGAAGGCACTAATCCATCTTCAGGAAGCTCAAACTAATTGTTTGAAACTGTTAAACTGCATGGTTAATTGGCAACTCACTTTTTTCGGTTCATCTGATGTTAGTGTACAATCGTTCTGTGCTTATGGATGCTCATTACAGCTGCATGTATAGAACTGGACTCTTTAGATATTACATAATGATTATTAATGGGTTATGAAATTCAACAAGTCTTGATTTCTTCATTGTTGTATAGAAGCTCTTGAAATATGTTCGAATGTCAAATAATAGCTGATGCATTGGTATTGTTTGAGTAGGACTCTTTCAACTGCCCGACACATAATTCACCTGTGCCGTCTAGACACCTAACTCAACATTCAAAGGCGGTTCTTGGTCAGGGTTCTAACTCAAGATATCCAGTTCGAAGCAACAGATGGATCCCTAGTCACTGTTCCACATTGGCACCATCTAGTAGGGATTCGACAGGAACAGATATTTCAATTCCATCAATTGGAGATATTCCAATCTCAGAGAAGATTACTTCAGAAATCCCCATTCAGATTCAGGTATAAATAAAAGCATTTCCGATCCTTTTGGCATATCTGTCAGTTGTGTTTGACAGGATATCAGTAGTATTAGATATAAGTAGGCCACACATTGACATTCCATAGTAGGAAAAGATATAAATTCTTAGTGGTTACTAGCCCACACATTCACATTCCAAAGTAGGAAAAAGATATAAGTTCTTAGTGTTAGTAGCCCACACATTCACATTCCACAGTAGGAATCTATTTGTTTTTGTTAATTTATGTTTGCTGTCATTCACCTTATCTTTGCATAATCATGTTATAGAAACAAGTTCTTCGAAGGATCCCAAGGAATTTCTATGGTTCAAGTTCATTCATGTATATATATATATATCAATCAGTCGTCTATGCACTGGCATTGTCCATACAGGTGTCTAATTCTCCAGCTGCCTCCTTGATGTACCCAAGTCAACACAAAAAGATGACTCCCAATCATACTGGCACCCCGAGGTTGGCAAAGAGGGGGAAAAAATTAGACAACTTTGACAATTCCATATCAAAAACAAATACGAACAATGATGAAGTGATTTCCCCTCAAACTCAGGCCCAACAAGTTGCTGTTCTCTCTGCACCCAAGGAGGTTGTATCTGACAACCATCTATCAATAAGGGAGGCTATTGAAGCCTCAAATATTGTTGGGAGCAGACTAGAAGGGAGTGTCAACAACAGTAACCAAAGGGAGCATAGAAGCACCAGAGGGATCCCCAGTCACTCTTCCATTTTGACACCATCTAAGAGGGATTTCACAGAAAAGGATATTTCAAGTCCAGCAACAGGGAATATTCCAACCTCAGAAAAGATTACCTCGGAACTCCCCCTTCAGACTCAGGTATAAAGAAAGCACTGCCCAAGTGCTGCTCCTATGGCATTTCTTTTGGTTCTATTGACAGAATTTCAATATTATTAAGATACATATTCTTATTGGTTACTAGCACATGCATTCCACAGTAGTTATTTATATATTTTTGTTAGTTTATGTTTGCTTTTCATTCACCTCATCTGGCATCATTATGCTACAGAAGCAGGTTCTTTGTAGGATCTTAAGGAATTTTTATGGGTTAAGTTTCTTCATATTCTTAAAACATTTTGTCATGACTATGTTAATGCATCATCAAGTATGGTTCCACATACTTACATACATACATACATACATACATATAAGTTTGTAACACTTATACAGTCGTATAACAGTACTCAGCCCTCTCTCTTGCTTTATATACTGAATAACACTATCATGAGGTCAATTTTATGACAACTATGATCTCTCTGTCTTTTTGTTGTAATCATGTACAAATATTGAGACGCACATAGAACAGTCTGAAAAGAGAATTATATCAGCATTAAACAATTAAAACTTCATATTAAAAATTATTTACTGTAACTCACACATTTACCTTCTCTTTCTTTTGATTTATTTGACCAAATTGAACTATTACGTTTTACCGTCTCATTTAATTTTATTTTATAGTACTTTGAGCTGCTTTTTTTAGAGTGAGATCACTTTAATATTGGCTACGCGATTTATGCATTATTGTTATTATTGCGCCCAAAATATACTAATTTAAGGGAGAGCTTATAACAACTGCCATGAAGTTGACCTCATGAATATTGAAAATAAATATAAAGATGCGTTTGAAATTAGAATTGGAGGGGATTTAGTTTACACTTCAAAATTCAAACTAAATTACCTCCAATTCCAATCCCAAATCCAATTCAGTGCTCCCAAAATAGCATAAGAGTAATACTTTGTAGCAGCTTACCTTTGTTTAAAAAAAGGTAAGTAAAAAATAAAAGGAAGGAAAGAAGCTTCTCATCAAATATTTCCAAGTCACAACCTGGACCCACAATTTGTGGGACACATCTGATATGGCTACATCTGAAGAAGAGGCCCACGAAATAATACGAGGTATGAAACTATTTCAGAAAAATTGAGAGGGAAAAAAAAAAAAAAAAAAAAACTTATTAAGTGGATAACAGTTGTCAAACCATGAAAAAAACCATAAAATGCAATTCAACTTCAGAAATTGAGCACTCTTCAGAGGCTCTTGAATTAGAATCTCTGCCATTTTCTAAGACCAGCAGAGTGAGAAAGGTAAGAGAGAAAGAAAGAGTAGTCTTTGATTCAAAGCAGTAGGAGAGAAAGAACTCAAGAAAAGAGAGCAACGGGGAGGAGAGGAAGAGGAAGAGGAAGAAAAAGAAATGAAGAAGATGATTCATCTACTGAGGTAACCATTTATGTGTGTGTTTGTTTATGTGTTTTATTCAGTGAAAAATGTGAGCCAAATGAGTAGAAAATGCTCTGATAGGAACAGGGTCTCTTGGTATTGTGTGTGTGTTTTTATGTGTTTGGTTCAGTGAGAATTATGAGCCAATGCTCTGACAGGAACAGGGTTTCTTCATATTGTTTGTGTGAGCCAATAGAGTAGAAAATGGTCTGATAGGAACAGGGTGGGTTTCTTCATATTGCGTTTGTGTGTTTCTATGTGTTTGGTTCAGTGAAAAATATGAGCTAATGGGGTAGAAAATGCTCTAATAGGAACAGGGTTTCATCGCATTCTGCGTGTCTGTGTTTATGTGTTTCCGTCAGTGAAAAATATGAGCCAATGGAGTAGAAAATTATCTGATAGGAACAGGGTTTCTTCATACTGCGTGTGTGTAATTGTGTATATATAGATATATGTCACCTTTTCTAAACCACATCGTGTTTTCCTAGAAAATTTCTCTCTTTCCCAAAAACCTGTTTGTGTTTCTCTGAGATCCCAAGAAGGCAAAAAAGAACCCCATTTCATACTGTACTTTTGTTTTCTATTTACCTTTATTTCTAGTTAATGCTTTATTTTTATTTTATGTATGGGAATGCTTGTGCAATGTGTGATATGAAAATGCTATAGTGTTTCTATATTGTATATTTTCCATACGCATTTTCTTTTCCATTCTCTCTGTGTCAGATAATTCCTCTCACCCTTCTGATAGACAGAGGGCAACTTTTCTGAGATCCAATGAATAAAACCACCATTACTTTTTTGAGATCCAATGAATAAAACCACCATTGTGGAGCCAAAACCACTAATGTTGGTCCCCATCGAGCTAGTTCCAAAGCACCCATCCAATACTAACTTAACCATCTGCTACTAACACTCACTGAAAAAACCAAGCAGATCACCCTCCATTAGCCTATGCATGTATATTTGTGTATGTTTAGTGTCTGTGATCTTCATATATACATATAGTTACACAAGCAATTATCAATACATCTGTGCACACAATATTTCATGACCCTTCCTTTACTCCATGTTAAAATTAAAGTGGCTCTTAAAGATTAAAGTGAAATCCCATTTCTATCTTTTTCAAGGAAGGTGGGAGAAAAAAATGGAAATATCATGTAAAAAATTGTTTATTTTGTCGTGTTGCAAGGAGAGGAAAATCTGAGGATTTTCTATTCACCAAAATGGAGTATTAATGTTCATTGCCTAATTTGCCTATGCTCTGGTCCTTGATTATCTTTATAGTATTGTATTTCTTAGGTTTAGTTTACACCCCAGTTGCATACTAATAATTATCCCTTAACATACTTAGTCATATATGGCAAGGCCAAGCATTAAAACTTAAAAGTCATCTGTGTGTGTATATGTGCCAGAGTAGGATGGGGGGATTTTACATATATAAATAACCCTTATTGTGCTGAACTATAACCTCTACGCTTGGAAGGCACCAAAACATCTTCAGGAAGCTCAACTAATTGTTTGAAACTGTTGAACTGCATGGTTAATTGGCAACTCACTTTTGTTGGTTCATCTGATGTTAATGTACAACTGTTCTGTGCTTGTAGATAAAAAAAAATCATATCTGTTAAGTGTTGCTCATTACAGCCGTAGTCGTATGTATAGAACTGGACTCTTTAGATATTACAAACTGATTATTTGTTAACGGGTTATGAAATTCAACAAGTCTTGATTTCTTCATTGTTGTATAACACCTTTTGTAGTTATATGTTGTGATGTCGAATAATAGCTTATGCATTGGTATCTTTTGAGTAGGACTCCTTCAACTTTCTAACACATTATTCACCTGTGCCAAAGGTGGTTCTTGGTCAGGGTTCTACCTCGAGATATTCAGAGAAGATTACCTCAGAAATCCCCATTCTGATTCTGGTATAAATAAAAGCATTTCCCATCCTTTTGGCATATCTGTCGGTTGTGTTTGACAGGATATCAACGCTATTAAGATATAAGTTCTTAGTGGTTACTAACCCACACATTGACATTCCACAGTAGGAGAAAGATGTAAGTTCTTAGTGGTTACTAACCCACACATTGACATGCCATAGTAGGAATCTATTTTTTTTTGTTAATTTATGTTTGCGTTGGTTCACCTCATCTTCACATAATCATGTTATAGAGACAAGTTCTTCGAAGGATCCTAAGGAATTTTTATGGGTTAAGTTCATTCATATATATATATATATATATATATATATATGAATCAGTCTATGCACTTGCATTGTCCATACAGGTGTCTAATTCTCCAGCTGCCTCCTTGATGCACCCAAGTCAACACGAAAAGATGACTCCCAATCATACTGGCACCCCGAGGTTGGCAAAAAGGGGCAAAAAAATGGACAACTCTATATCAAAAACAAATACAAACAATGATGAAGTGGTTTCCCCTCAAACTCAAGCCCAACTAGTTGCTGCTCTCTCTGCACCCCATGAGGTTGTATCTGACAACCATCTGTCAATAAGGGAGGCTAATGAAGCCTCAAACATTGTTGGGAGCACACTAGAAGGAACTGCCAACAACGGAAACGAAAGGGAAGAGCATGAAAGCACCAGAGGGATCACCAATCACTCTTACACATTGACACCATCTAAGATGAATTTTACTGAAATGGATATTTCGAGTCCAGCAACACGGGATATTCCAACCTCAGAGAAGATTACTTCAGAACTCCCCCTTCAGACTCAGGTATAAAGAAAAGCAAGTGCTGTTCCTTTTGCATATCTTTTGGCTGTATTTTTGTTAGGTTATATTTGCTTTTCATTCACCTCATCTTGGGCATGATCATGCTACAGAAATAAGTTCATTATAGGGTCTTAATGAATTTTTATGGGTGGAGTTTCTTCACATGTATCAATCAGTCTATGCAATGGCATTGTCCGTACAGGTGTCTAATTCTCCAGTTGCTTCCTTGATGTCCCCAAGTCAACATGAAAAGATGATAACCAGTCATACTGGCAGCCCCAGGTTGGCAAAGGAGGGAAAAACAATAGGCAACATTAACAATGTATCAATATCACATACAAACAATGTTGAAGTGCACAGAGAGAATTTAATTTCCGAAGTGATCCTCCCTCAAACTCAGGAAGGTGAAGAACTCAACCCAGCTGCAGCTCTCTCTGCACACCATGTAATTGTATCTGACAAACATCTGCTGACAAGGGAGGCTAATAAAGCCTCAAATATTGTTGGGAGCATACCAGAAGGGAGTGCCAGCAATGGTAACCAAAGGGAAGTGAATCTAGGCCAAACTTTGAGTCTTAACCTTACGGAAATGGCTGAAACGTTGGATGACGATCTCGATGAGGTTGGATCTTTTCTTGATCCTGCTTTGGTCACCGTTAATGGGTACAGAGTGAAGCCAGAATGGGCATCTCTCCTTAGAGCAATATTTTTGAGATATGGAGATATTGCTAAGGATTGCTGTTTTGTGAGTACTATTAGATCTCGTTCGTTTCTCCTGGAGATAATATGTGAGATCATCCAGAAATTACAGGATACAGAATTCGTACATTTCACGCCTGCGGACCTCAATTCCATGCTTGATCAAGTTTGTGATCTGGAAACCGCAAAGCTGGAAGTTGGATGGCTGCGTCAGAGGCTGGATGATATTTCTGAGGCCATGAGGCTGTTCAGGGGCTATTCCAACCTGAAGGAGGCACAAAGAAGCAGAATTCAAGCCATTGAGAAAAAAAAGGAAGAGTTAAAAAGCTTCAAGGGTCAGATTCTAGCTTTACAGGAGAGAGTCGTTTTAGCAGAGGATGAGCTGACTCCAATGAAGGCTGAGGCTGAGAAGATTGATGAGACAATCACCGAGTCAAAGGCAAAAGTAAAATGTTTTTATCAACAATCTTTGGTACATGGCCTACTTTAGTTTAATGTCTCCATAACCAAACTCGTGTTTTGTTTCGAATGTCGTAGATGTTTCTTATAACTTAGGAGTCTAAGAAATTCTACTATTTTCTGGTTGATAGTCTCCTTTGCTGAAGTAGTAGTTACTGACTGCATTATAACGATGTGTGCTGTGACTGGAAACTAGAGTTTTCTATGGCCTTAAATTCACACCATAGTTTTTAAAGCTGTGAAACTTATTGAGGAACTTGTATATACATCCCTTGCAGTTTTTGGCCTACATTGCTTACTTTGCCTTGTGCTTTCTGGCTAGGAATGCTTTATGAACTGAATAGAATAGAATTTCGACATCTCCCTTGTTGAGTATGGCATTTTTGAACCGTATAATGCTTTCCTCTTCCTTGGCGTTTTTGACACTGAACATGTTCCAAGACACTGTAGCTTGTTTATTTCCTCTACTTAGGTCTGTTTGATGCAGTAGATGTTCAAGATAAGGGTGGTTCCATGTATTGATTATAGTAACCTGTTCTCTGTTTAGTAACTCTTTACCATCTATATTACTGCTCGAAACTGGTTGTACATCGCAGAGGACTATCATGGAAGATGTCGAAATTCCATGGAGCATCGAAGAAGAAACTATGATAATGTGGTTTAATGTTAACCAGGAAAAAAATGTTGTTGTATAGGTGGTAAACCAGGCAACAGGTATGGTGGGACTAGTAGTCCATGTATCCTGCTTTATGAAGCAAGGTCAATAAAACTTTTCACGGCTACTGCTAATTTATATCAAATGTTGCCGTATTTCATTTCAATCATTTATTTCTGAATGTACTCAAATTCTCATGAAAGGATTTTATTTTATTTTTGATAACTCATGAAAGGATTTACCAAAAGGAAATTATAAAGTGTCACCACAAGTCTGGCTACAACAAGCCAGACAATAAATAATTAAGGAAGATAATAATAATAATGATCATGGAACTGAAATACCAAATCGAATTGGAGTTCAATCTCATTTGTTTTACTATTCAGTTTGATTCTGGTTCCAAAATTTTAGAATCGCAATTTTAAGATTACATTCTAATTTTGAAGTCGCAATATATATAATAAAATATTAATTTTATTTTTTTAATAATCTTTTGTTCATTCCACATCAAAATGATAATCGCGATTTATACGTTTAAAAATATAGTATATATTTATAAAATAAATAAGAAACGATTAAGATGTTTGATATGTATACATTTGGTGTTCATGAGTAGAAGTGATTTCTCTGTACATTTGGTGTTATGGCTATATTGCATAAAAAACAATTTATTTTTTATTTAGGTAATTTATTAATTTTTTATGAATATATTGTTACTCTAAATAATTACTCGACTTTGTGGTCAGTCTTTGTTTATGTTTGACCCACAAACGTAAATAATTAATACGATAAGGACTTATCACGTGGCTTGTAACGGCTCTTTATTAATATTTGACTCCACACATAAAAACTCAATAATTAACTTATTCTCTGTCTTTAATATTTGATCATATTTTATGGATTTATCAAATTATAGTTAATGTACCTTTTTAACCTCTCAAAATATAAGTGGAATTTCTGTATTTCACTAGTCTTGCATTCCCATAAAGATAAACAGGTGTATTAATATACATTTGGTCCTAACCCTGGTCTCATTTACTATCATTTATCAGTGTTCTGTCAACCGTTGGCCATCCCCACCTCGCCGCCGTCCATCTTCCATTGGCCACCGTCGATTGTTCATCCCTCTCTAGTTCACGATTGTCCAACCTGCCTACATCTGATCCAAGAATCTGAAACCCAAGTTTCCCATTATTTATTTTCTCTGCAACAAAATCCCCCCTATTATCTTTCAGTTCTAGGGTTTTAATCTGTTTTACCGCTATGCATATGTTTATAGCTTTCATTATCTGATATTATTATTATTATTATTGTTTTGTTGTGATTGGGTTTTCTTTTTGATCCATTTGATTGCTAGCAAGACATATACGAATACATAAAAATTAGATTTCTTACCTTTTGGATTATTTGTTTTATTTTAGTTGTGCCTGAAACCTTCCTGATTGATACTATTATCTGATCTTATGCTTTGATATGCTTATTTCTGTATAATAACTGTTAGTGTCAGTGAAAACTGAAATTAGTGACATTTCCGTAATGAAATATAATGCCTTTTTTACAACCCTATTAAGACCGGTGAATGATCCTCCCATGTACTTGAATTCTTGAGGTTAGAGCAATTTCATTGTTTAATCTAGAAGCGAACCTAATAAGTTTTTAAAATTGCATGAATGAGGTGATTGATGCTAGAAATAATCTTAGGTAGGTAGGATGCTCCTTGAGTCTCACCTTTGACATAGACGTTAAGTGAAATGAACCACAATAATTAAATCATGCAAACTTATAAAATGTAGTTCGATGCATGCTCATTTCCTACGAGTAGTTTTATATTACTCACCCCTACGATACTGGGGCATATTTCAGGTACAAAAATCAAAGTTGAGGTCTTCATTATGCTTGGATGGTTTGTGGACTTGGAGACTTCCATTTTTGTGAAGGTTGGCTTGGAATGCCAATTATAGTCTTATATGTCAACATGTGTACATTTGATTCCTTATATGTAATGTGTATATGAGTACACTCTTTATAATGTATTTGACATGTATGTCCAGCAACAGGGAATACTCCAACCTCAGAGAAGATTACTTCGGAACTCCCCCTTCAGACCCAGGTATAAAGAAAAACACTGCCCAAGTGCTGCTCCTTTTGGCATATCTTTTTGTTCTATTGACAGAATTCCAATATTATTAAGATATATATTCTTATTGGTTACTAGCCCATACATTCCACAGTAGTTATTTATTTATTTTTGTTAGTTTATGTTTGTTTTTCATTCACCTCATCTTGGACATCATCATGCTACAGAACTTTATACGATCTTAAGGTATTTTTATGGGTTAAGTTTCTTCATATTCTTAAAACTTTACATCATGACTCTGTTAATGCATCATCAAGTATAGTTCCACATACATACATACATACATATAAGTTTGCAACAATATGTAGTCATGTACAAATATTGAGATGCGCATAGAACAGTCTGAAAATAGAATTATATCAGGATTATACAATCAAATTTTCATATTAAAATTTAGGGTTAATTACTCTCACACCCCTGAGGTTTGTCCCATTAACAGTCAAATGAAAGTTAGTCATTTTTTGAACAATTATACCCCTTCAGGTTTGGTAAAGTTAACAAATACAACCCTATCACAACTGACACATGGCTAATTGACCTTATTGCCCTTTGACCTTTACAAATTATTTTATTTGACTAAATTAACCCTCACATTTTCTCTCCCCCTCTCTCTCTACCCACAACCACCCTCATTCTCTTCTTCTATATCTCCATTGTACCAGCTGCCATCACCATCATCAGTCCATCACCACAAAATATATATCATATATATACACATACATATATATATATATATATATATATATATTTCACACACAATACCGCCGGCAACCTCTACCACCACCCCCCATCGCCACCTCCACCACCGCCCACCCTTCCACTAAGCTACAAATTATTCTGAATTCCTTCATTCCACACACCCTGAGGTTTGTCCCATTAACAGTCAAATGAAAGTTAGTCATTTTTTGAACAATTATACCCCTTCAGGTTTGGTAAAGTTAACAAATACAACCCTATCACAACTGACACATGGCTAATTGACCTTATTGCCCTTTGACCTTTACAAATTATTTTATTTGACTAAATTAACCCTCACATTTTCTCTCCCCCTCTCTCTCTACCCACAACCACCCTCATTCTCTTCTTCTATATCTCCATTGTACCAGCTGCCATCACCATCATCAGTCCATCACCACAAAATATATATCATATATATACACATACATATATATATATATATATATTTCACACACAATACCGCCGGCAACCTCTACCACCACCCCCCATCGCCACCTCCACCACCGCCCACCCTTCCACTAAGCTACAAATTATTCTGAATTCCTTCATTCCACACACCCAGGGTTCGAAATCGACCCACAAATAATTGATCACTGCCCAATCAATCTGAATCAATGCATCACACCAAATGCATACCGTTACCCCTCGTCAACGTTGGAATTGCGTCACCCATAGCTGGCCAAGATCTCGTCAACGTCGGAATCGCGTCACTGCCATGCCATTGTTGCTGCTAGTCAACATCAGAATCGTGCTGTGGTACTCGCGAGAAATCGACCCTATGTTGCATTCTTCATCCTCACCATCCATTTCTGCAAAATTGGTTTGGTTTATATATATATATAACAAATAGAAAGCAAAATGGGTTTGATTTCCCTTTTTTTTAACAAAAAACTGCAAATTGGTTTGGGTTTATATATATATCTATATATAGTTATTTTCGAAAAGGCCAAAAAAAAAAAAAAAAAAAAAAAGGAAGAAGGTTGATTTGGACTTGAGATATGTGGGAATGGTGACTGTGGGTGGTTTCAAAAAAAAAAAGGAGGGTTTGATTTGGGGTGGAGTCGGTGGACCGGGTGGTGACTAGGGGCGGCGACTGGTGTGTGGATCACCATTTTTTGTTGTTGAGTTTTGCTAGGTTTGAAACTAAGAAGAGAGAAAAGACCCTGTGTTTGGGAGAGAAATTTCTGTAATGATTATGGATATTTAAGTAATTTAATCAGTTAGATATTTTATATTACAAATTAATTAAATAACAAGGGGTAATCTAGACATTTCATACTTTTTTTTAAGGTAAACAAGGGGTGTCAATGTCATAAAATGGCCAAAGTTTCATCTTAGTGTCAATATGCCACACCTAGTGTGGGTTTAATTAACCCTAAAATTTATTTACTATAGCTCACACATTTACTTTCTCTTTCTTTTGATTTTATTTGACCAAATTGATCTATTATTTTTTACCCTCTCATTTAATTTTATTTTATGGTACTTTGAGCTGCTTTTTTTTTACAGTGAGACTTTAATATTGGCTACGCAATTTATGCATTATTATTATTTTTTTGCCCAAAATATACTAATTTAAGAGAGAGCTCATTACAACTGCCATGAAGTTGACCTCATAAATATTAAAATAAATATATAATGTTGCGTTTGATATTATAAGTGGAGGGAATTTAGTTTACACTTCAAAATTCAAACTAAATTACCTCCAATTCCAATTCCAATCCCAATCTCCAATTCAGTGCTCCCAAAATAGCATAAAAGTAATCCTCTGTAGCAGCTTACCTTTGTTTAAAAAAAGGTAAATAAAAAAAAAAAAAAAACGAAGGAAAGAACCTTTTCACCAAATATTGCCAAGTCACAACTTGGACCCACAATTTGTTGGTCACATCTGATGAGGCAACATCTGAAGAAGAGGTCCACGAATTCGTACGAGGTATGAAACTATTTCAGAAAAATTGAGAGAGAGAAGAGGAAAAAAAAAAAAAAAACCCATTAAGAGGATAACAGTTATCAAACCATGAGAAAAGCACTAAAATGCAATTCAACTTCAGAAAATGAGCACTCTTCAGAGGCTCATGAAATAGAATCTCTGCCATTTTCTAAGACCAGTAGAGTGAGAAAGGCGAGAGAGCAATGGGGAGGAGAGGAAGAGGAAGAAAAAGAAAAGAAGATGATTCATCTACTGAGGTAACCCATTTGTGTGTGTGTATATTTGTGTTTATGTGTATCATTCAGTGAAAAATATGAGCCAATCGACTAGAAAATGCTCTGATAGGAACAGGGTTTCTTGATATTGTGTTTGTGTTTTAATGTGTTTGGTTTAGTGAGAAATATGAGCCAATGCTCTGATAGGAACAAGATTTTTTCATATTGTTTGTGTGAGCCAATGGAGTAGAGAATGGTCCGATAGGAACAGGGTTTCTTCATATTTTGTTTGTGTGTTTTTATGTGTTTGGTTCAGTGAAAAATATTAGCCAATGGGGTAGAAATGGTTCTAATAGGAACATAGTTTCATCATATTTTGTGTGTGTGTGTGTGTCTATGTGTTTCCTTTAGTGAAAAATATGAGCCAATGAAGTAGAAAATTATCTGATAGGAACAGGCTTTCTTCATACTGTGTGTGTGTAACTGTGTATATATAGATATATGTCCCCTTTTCTAAACCACATCGTGTTTTCCTAGAAAATTTCTCTTTCCCAAAAACCAGTTTGTGTTTCTCTTAGATACCAAGAAGGCAAAAGAGAACACCATTTCATACTGTATTTTGTTTTTCTATTTACCTTTATTTATAGTTGATGATTTATTTTTATTAGGGTTAAGTGCACTAAATCTATTCATGTTTGTTGCAAAAACTCCAACTCTGTTAGTTAGCCATCTCATATTTAATGTTAGGCAGGGGCACGTGACCTAGGTGCCTTGGCCAAAATTTAAAATCACATATATACCCTTATCACTGTTCTAGACCATTATATATATCACTATATATATACACACACCTTGTATAAACATTCGAACCAAAACCCCCCAAATTGAAAAAACCCTAATATTCGATTCTCTATTAGCAGCAAATCCTCTCTCCTTCACTCTCCTGAACGGACTCCTCCATGCTGCCATTTGACGCTCATGTCTCCGTCTCAATTTGGGTATCCAGATTCTCTTCCTCCACCACAACTTTGCCATCCCCATCATCCAGCAATAGAAAACTTTGCACCAGCGAGTTGTCAATCTCCATCTCCATCTCAAATTGGGTGTTCAAATTCGCCTCATCTGCCATAGCTTTGTCATCCCCATCTTCCAAAGAAGCAACCAAGGACTCTGCACCAACAAATTTTACTTTTTTCTATCTCCTGAACAGAGCTCTCTATTGCCTTTTTGCCGTCGTCTCTACCTCCATTTCAAAGTCCACCATTAAATTCTTCTCCTCTGCCACAACTTTGTCATCCTCATTGCTTGTAAAACCAATTGAGGTCTCTGCCCTAATAATTTCTGCAATTTCAAGCTCCTGCCCACTATCTTTTGCGGTCTCGGTCTCCATTTCAAAGTCCACCATCAGATTTTTCTGGTTTTGTGTACGTTGATTTTCTGGTTTTTTGTTTTTGAGCTTCTCCTTTGCAGTAGCTCATGAACCCAACTAAACATTGCTTTGAGTGGGTTTAGCACGGGGTATTGAGAGAGAGATCGCTTCATGCATACAGTAGAAGCTGGTTTAGAAGCAATTGGGATAAAGTTATAATTACGATGTGGTGGCGCTTTTTTATTGGAGATTGAAATTGCATTTGCTACCTCAGCAGCTGAAGTTGCACATAATTCAAAACGACGTTGTTCAAAGCAAGGGCTAATAGGTAAATTGATTGTTCCGTTAACGGCTGGTTGACAATTGTCCTTAACTGCAACATTTCTAAAGTTTAGGGGGTTATTTTTAGTTTAGGGGGGTTTCTTGCAATTGGCTCATAATTCAGGGGGGGTTTAATGCACTTTACCCTTTTTATTATATGTATGAGAATGCTTGTGCAATGTGTGATATGAAAATGCTATAGTGTTTCTATATTGTATATTTTCCATACACATTTTCTTTTCCATTTTCTCTGTTTCTGAGATAATTCCTCTCACCCTTCTGACAGACAGAGGGTAACTTTCTGTGATCCAATGAATAAAGCCACCGTTACTTTTTTGAGATTTAATGAATAAAACCATCATTATGGAGCCAAAACCACTAATGTTCTTCCCCATCGAGCTAGTTGCAAAGCACCCATCCACTACTCACTTAAACCATCTGCTAGTAACACTCACTGAAAAAACCAAGCAGATCATCCTCCATTAGCCTATGCATGTATATTTGTGTATGTATTGTGTCTGTGATCTTCATATATACATAAATTTACACAAGCAATTATCAATACATCCGTGCACACAACATTTCATGACCCTTCCTTTACTCCATGTTAAAATTAAAGTGGCTCTTAAAGATTAAAATGAAATCCCCTTTCTATCATTTTCAAGGAATGTGAGAAAAAACATGGAAATGTCAAATAAAAAATTGTTTATTTTGTTGTGTTGCAAGGAGAGGAAAATCTGAGGATTTTCTATTCACCAAAATGGAGTTTTAATATTCAATGCCTAATTTACCTATGCTGTGGTCCTTGATTATCTTAATAGTATTGTATTTCTTAGGTTCAGTTTGCACCACAATTGCATACTAATAATTATGCCTTAACATACTTAGTCATATATGACAAGGCCAAGCATTTAAAGTTGTGTGTGTATATGTGCCATAGTAGGATGGGGGAATTTTACATACATAAATAACCCTTATTGTGCTGAACTATAACTCTACGGTTGGAAGGTACCAAACCATCTTCAGGAAGCTCAACTAATTGTTTGAAACTGTTGAACTGCATGGTTAATTGGCAACTCGCTTTTGTCGGTTCATCTGATGTTAAAGTACAACCGTTCTGTGCTTGTGGAGAAAAAAAAATATCTGTTAAGTGTTGCTCATTACATCCATAATCGTATGTATAGAACTGGACTCTTTAGATATTACAAACTGATTATTTATTAACGGGTTATGAAATTCAACAAGTCTTGATTTCTTTATTGTTGTATAGAACCTTTTGTAGTTATATGTTATGATGTCGAATAATAGCTTATGCATTGGTATTGTTTGAGTAGGACTCTTTCAACTTTCTGACACATTATTCACCTGTGCCAAAGGTGGTTCTTGGTCAGGGTTCTACCTCGAGTTATCCAGTTCGAAGCAACGATTGGATCCCCAGTCACAGTTCCACATTGACACCATTTAGGAGGGATTTTACAGGAGCGGATATTTTGATTCCAGCAATCAGAGTTATTCCTATCTCAGAGAAGATTACTTCAGAAATCCGTTCCTGTAAAATCCTTCCTACATGGTGTCAATCTTCAGGAAGCTTATACTAATCCATCTTCAGGAAGCTCAAACTAATTGTTTGAAACTGTTGAACTGCATGGTTAATTGGCAACTCACTTTTTTCGGTTCATCTGATGTTGATGTACCATCGTTCTGTGCTTATGGATGCTCATTACAGCTGTATGTATAGAACTGGACTCTTTAGATATTACATAATGATTATTAACGGGTTATGAAATTCAACAAGTCTTGATTTCTTCATTGTTGTATAGAAGCTCTTGAAATATGTTCTGATGTCAAATAATAGCTGATGCATTGGTATTGTTTGAGTAGGACTCTTTCAACTGCCCGACACATAATTCACCTGTGCCGTCTAGACACCTAACTCAACATTCAAAGGCGGTTCTTGGTCGGGGTTTTAACTCGAGATATCCAGTTTGAAGCAACAGATGGATCCCTAGTCACTGTTCCACATTGACACCATCTAGTAGGGAATCGACAGGAACAGATATTTCAATTGCAGCAACTGGAGATATCATCTCAGAGAAGATTACTTCAGAAATCCCCATTCAGATTCAGGTATAAATAAAAGCATTTCCCATACTTTTGGCACATCTGTCAGTTGTGTTTTGACAGGATGTCAATGCTATTAAGACGTAAGTTCTTAGTGGTTATTAGCCCACACGTTGACATTCCACAGTAGGAGAAAGACGCAAGTTCTTAGTGGTTACTAACCCACACATTGACATTCCACACTGGCATTGTCCATACAGGTCTCTAATTTCCAGCTGCCTCCTTGATGTACCCAAGTCAACACGAAAAGATGACTCCCAATCATACTGGCACCCCGAGGTTGGCAAAAGGGGGGCAATAAAACAGACAACTCTAAAACAAATACAAAAAATGATGAAGTGATGTCCCCTCAAACTCAGGCCCAACTAGTTGCTACTCTCTCTGCACCCCATTAGGTTGTATCTGACAACCATCTGTCAATAAGGGAGGCTAATGAAGCCTCAAATATTGTTGGGAGCACACTAAAAGGAAGTGCCAACAACGGCAACGAAAGGGAAGAGCATGAAAGTACCAGAGGGATCACCAATCACTCTTACATTTTGACACCATCAAAGATGGATTTTGCAGAAATGGATATTTTGAGTCCAGCAACACGGGATATTCCAACCTCAGAGAAGATTACTTCAGAACTACCCCTTCAGACTCAGGTATAAAGAAAAGCACTGCCCAAGTGCTGCTGCTTTGGCATATCTTTTGGTTGTATTGACCGAATTCCAATGTTATAAGATATATATTCTTTTTGGTTACTTGCCCATACATTCTAGAGCAGGAATTTATTTATTTTTGTTAGTTTATGTTTGCTTTTCATTCACCTCATCTTGGGCATGATCATGCTACGGAAATAAGTTCTTTATAGGCATTTAAGCAATTTTTTATGGGTTAAGTTTCTTCAGATGTATCAACCAGTCTATGCAATGGCATTGTCCGTACAGGTGTCTAATTCTCCAGCTGCTTCCTTGATGTACCCAAGTCAACATGAAAAGATGATTCCCAGTCATACTGGCAGCCCCAAGTTGGCAAAAGACGGGAAAAGCAATTCAGCAATGGTAACCAAAGGGAAGAGAATCTAGGCCGAACTTTGAGTCTTAACCTTACGGAAATGGCTGAAATGTTGGATGACGATCTCTTTGTGGTTGGATCTTTTCTTGATCGTGCTGGTCACCGTTAATGGGTACAGAGTGAAGCTGGAATGGGCATCTCTCCTTAGAGCCATATTTTTGAGATATGGAGATATTGCTAAGGATTGCTCTTTTGTGAGTATTAGATCTAGTTCGTCTCTCCTAGAGATAATGTGTGAGATCATCCAGAAATTGCAGGAGACTGAATTCGTACATTTCACGCCTGCAGACCTCAAATCCATGCTTGATCAAGTTTGTGATCTGGAAACCGCAAAGCTGGAAGTTGGACGGCTGCGTCAGAGGCTGGATGGTATTTCTGCGGCCATGAGGCTGTTCAGGGGCTATTCCAGCCTGAAGGAGGCACAAAGAAGCAGAATTCAAGCCATTGAGAAAAAAGAAGAGTTAAAAAGCTGCAAGTAGCAGATTCTAGCTTTACAGGAGACAGTCCTTTTAGCAGAGGATGATCCGACTCCAATGAAGGCTGAGGCTGAGAAATTTGATGAGAAAATCACCTAGTCAAAGCCAAAAGTAAAATGTTTTTATCAACAATCTTTGGTACTTGGCCTACGTTAGTTTAATCTCTCCATGTGTTTTGTTTTGAATGTTCTCCAAATTGTTTCTTGTAACTTAGGATCCATTTGGGTTTAAGAAATTATACTATTTTCTGGTTGATACTCCTTTGCTGAAGTAGTAGTTACTGACTGCATTCTAACCATGTGTGCTGTGAGGCCTTAATTTCACAATCATGATTAATTGTGGAACTTGTATATGTACACCCCCTTGCTGTTTTTGGCCTGTATACTAATTTGGGGCTTCTTGTTATTTGTATACTAATTATCCTTCTGTTTAAAGTTAGCTTGTTTCTTTCTTCTTCCTTGGCGTGGCATGTTTGATACCGTACGTGTTCCAAGACATTGTAGCTTGTTTCTTTTCTCTAACGTGGCGTGTTTGATGCAGAAGATGTTCAAGATAACCACCATTATTGATTATAGTTCTCTGTTTGGTAACTCTTTACCATTAATATTACTGCTCGAATTTGCAGAGGACTAGTGCTATGCAAAGTTCTTTGAGGTTATGTTCGGCTACACGGAATTGGAACCTTAGATTTGGAATTGATTGAATTAGAGAAATTTTTGGTTTAATTTTTTGAGTTGCTTTTCTCCAATTCTACAAATTTCAATTTCAATGTTCCAATTTCATGCAAGGAGTTAGTGTAAAGATGTCAAAATTCCATGATAATTCGGTTTAATGTAACAGTTGCGCTGAGTGATATGCCGGGAAAATAAGTTGTCGTATAGGTGGTAGACCAGGCAACAGGTATGAGACTAGCAGTCCATGTGCCCTGCTTTATGATGCAAGGGTCAACAGAAAGGAGAGTTCAATAAAAGTTTGCACAACTACTGCTAAAATACAATTCTGCTTCAGCAAATAAGATGAAAAAGAGAAGAAGAGGAGTCCAAAACAGAATGGCAAGTTCCTATTCTGACTCATTTTCTTCTCACTCTCCTGGTCTTAGAAACAAACAACCAACCTTTCATCTGCTTAGGTAACCCATCCATCTCTGTGAGTTTTTATGAAAAATGAGCCATAGAAATGCTATGATAGAAATAGGGTTCTTCATATTATATGTGTATGTGTGTTTATGTGTTTCGTTTAGTGAAAATTATAATTTAATGGAGTACAAAATGCTCTGATAGGAACAGGGTTTCTTCATATTATATGTGTGTTTTTGTGTATGTGTTGTGTGTTTCGTTTAGTGAAAAATATGAGCCAATGGAGTAAAAAATGCTCTGATAGGAACAGGGTTTTTAAATATTATATTTGTGTTTTTGTGTGTGTGATTATATGTTTTGTTTAGTGAAAATATGAGTCAATAGAGTAGAAAATGCTCTGATAGGAACAAGGTTTCTTCATATTATATGTGTAGGTCTGCATATATAATCATATCGATATATCTCACCCTTTCTCTAAACCAAAATTAAAATTATTGTAATAAAGTGACTAAGGTTGATAATTCAAGTAATACATTTGTCACTTTTATTTCTTTTTCAATGGCCATAATCCCCAAGAACAATTATTTCAGGTTTTTTTAATCTTCCTTTTGTGATTGATGATTTCTTATTAGTTTGCCAAATCATCTAATTTTTCTCTCTCATTCTATCTTGGGTAAAGTACATCTTTATTACTGCTACTCACCTTGCAATTGTATGAATGATTCAATTTATATATATATATATATTTTTTAATTTATGTTTTATTGTTTTATTATTTTATACTTCTACATTCATACATATTTCTAGAACTTTGGAAGACTTGTACAGTCATATAACACGCACGCCAAAGGGATGAAGAATAAGTTTCTTACCTTTTAAAACAAAAGAGAAAAAAAAAAAAAAATTACTTTCATCAGATATTGCCACGTCATAACTTGGACCTACAATTTGTGGGTAAGGCCTTATGTGGCAGCATCTGAAGAAGAGGATTAGGAACTACTTCAGAAAATTGGAAAAAAAGAAAAGTAAAAAGGACAACAAAGATTGTCACTTCTGTACCAAAAGGTATAAAATGCAGTTCAGTGAGCAGTCTAGAAAGAGAATCTCTGCCATTTTGCAAGACCAGGAGGGTGAGAAGGTGCCAGAGACAGAGAAAAAGTGTGGCTTTTGATTCAAAACGAAGAGAGAGAGAGAGAGAGAGAGAGAGAGAGAGAGCAAAGAGAGCAATGGGGAGGAAAGTGAGAGGAAGACAAAGAAGAGAAGAAGATCAAACAGAATGCCAACAGAAGCCCAACCTTTCATATGCTAAGGTAACCCATTTCTGTGTGTGTGTGTATGTGTGTGTGTGTGTGTGTTTGATGTGTAAATATATATGTATGTGTGTTATATATCAAATACAGACACATATATGTCAATATGAACCAGATAGTCTTAGAGTTAAGTTTCGTTCAGTTAGATTATATTTGCTGCCAATTATGAAATTGTACAATTTTACCCTTTAGCTAGCCTCCTTAAGGTCTCTCTATTCTCTATTCTTTGCACCTCTCAACAAAGCGTACACAAATTAAAATGGTATTTATTGAGAAATTACTTAAAGAGAATTAATTCCTTGAAAATTAAATAGTTTATTGGATTATCTTGTAGATTAATAGCTAAAACAGAAAGGGGAAAAATAAAGAAAAGAAAAAAGAATATGAGAACACTCTTTGGGAAGTACCAGGATCGAGGATGATGAAGTTCTGTTTGTTTCATTACTTTTGTGATATTGTCAAGCATAGTGTTTGGGTCTGTACAAATTTATGTGGTATCAAATGAGTGAGTCATACTATAAACTTTAGAAGAGAGTTAGTAAACATCTAAGATGTGAAATTGCAGTGTCTGATAATCAATTTTGATATATGCCCAGAAGGTCAACAATGGAAACTATTTACTGAAAAGATGTAGAGAAGAGGACAAATCTTCATATGGTTCTTATTGGTTTGGGGAAAGTCCGTGATAGAGTCCCTAGATATACAGCATATTGAGTTTTAAGAAAGAAAGGAGTCGAAAACATATTTATGGATATGCTAAAGGACTTCTATGGTGGAACTGTGACTATACTAATGGAAACTGTGGGAGGAAAAAGTGAATATTCATTTATTGTATGCTTAAATCAAGCATCAACATTAAGTCCGTATCCTTTTGCCTTAGTTACGAATAACTTAACGAAACATATGTAGGATGAGGTTCCATAGTGCATGACAGCATGTTATTCGCTGAAAATATACTTTCAATTGATGAAACTAGAGCAAGAATAAGTGAATTAGAGGTCCTGGCTTGAATCAAGAGAGTTCGAGACTGGTGAGACTAAAACTGAATATATGGAATGTAACTTTAAAATGCATTCAAGAGCTTTTTAGGAAACTTCCTTCTTGAATTTTGTTCCAAAGTTTGAAAAACTTTTTCAAAACCACATCATTTTTTCATATAAAATTTCTCTCTTTCCCCAAACCACTGTGTGTTTCTCTGAGATCCAAGGATGCAAATGAAAACACCATTTCATACTGTGCTTTTGTATAATTTTCTATTAAAACTAGTTCCACTTACCTTTATTTACAGTTGATGCTTTTTTTTGTTATATTTATGGGAATACTTGTGCAATGTGTGATATGAAAATGCTTTCCAAGAAAAGGCTCTTTCCTTTTTTCTTTTTTTTTTCTTTTTCTTTTCCGCAGAAGTTAAGGACTCTTTTCTATAGTGTTTCTTTTCCTAACACATTTTCCTTTCCATTTCTCTATTTTTTCGAGAAAATTCCTCTCACCCTTCTGATGGACAGAGAGTAACTTTTCTGAGATCCAAAGAATGTAATCACCAATATGGATCCAAAACCACTAATGTTCTTCCCTACCGATCTAGTTCCAAACTACCCTTGCACTACTTTAACCAAAACCAGACCACCACTATCGTCTTGAGGAAGCTCAATTCATTGTTTGAAATTGTTGAACTATATGGTTAATTGGCAACACACTTTTGTTGGTACATCAAATGTTAATGTACAACTGTTCTGTGCCTATGGAATTGAATAATATAACTTTTTCAGTGTTGATCATTACAGCCGTATGTATAGAACTGGACTCTTTAGATATTACATACAGATTATTTGTTAATGGATTATGAAACTCAACAAGTCTAGATTTCTTCATTGTTGTATAGAAGCTTTTGTAGTTTTATGTTCTGATGTTGTATAACAGCTTATGAATTGGTATCATTTGAGTAGGACACTTTCAACTGTCCGACACATCATTCACCTATGCCGTCTAGATACCTAACTCGAAATGCAAAGGCGGTTCTTGGTCAGGGTTCTACCCTGAGATATCCAATTCCAAGCACCAAATGGTGTCATTGTTGCACATTGACACCAACTAGGACATATTTTAAAGCAACAGATATTTCAATTCCTGCAACCGGTGATATTCCAATCTCCGAGAAGATTACTTCAGAATTCCCCATTCAGATTCAGGTATAAAGAAAAGCACTGCCCTTCCTTTTGGCATATCGGGCAGTAGAATTTTGTGACAATATATCAATACTATTTAAGATTTAATTCTTAGTGGTTACTAGCACACACATTGACATTCCACAGTAGGAATCATGCTATAGAGACAAGTTCTTCGAAGGATCTTATGGATTTTTTTATGGTTGAGTTCATTCATATATATATATATATATATATATAAATATAAGTCAGTTTATGCACTGCAATTGTCCATACAGGTTTCTGATTCTCCAGCTGCTTCCATGATGTACCCACCTAAACGTCAAAAGACAACTCCCAATCATACTGGCAGCCCAAGGCTGGCAAAGAGGGGAAAAGCAATACGCAGCATCTATGATTCTACAACAATATCAAGTACAAGCAATGTTGAAGTGCACTTGGAGAAATTAATTTCAGAAGTGATCATCCCTCACATTCTGGAAGATGAAGAACTCAAAGTAGGTGCTGCTCTCTCTCCACCCCATGTGGTTGTATCCGACAAACATCTCCCAACTAGGGAGGCTAATGAAGCCTCAAGTATAGTTGGGAGTGGACCAGAAGGGAGTGCCAGCAATGGTAACCAAAGGGAAGAGAATCTAGGCCGAACTTTGAGTCCTGACCTCACGGAAATGACTGAAATGTTGGATGACATCTCTTGTGATCTCGATGAAGTTGGGTCTTTCCTTGATTCTACATTGGTCACCGTTAATGGGTATGTAGTGAAGCCGGAATGGGGATCTCTCCTTAGGGCCATATTTTCGAGATATGGAGATATTGCTAAGGATTGCTCTGTTGTGAGTATTAGATCTCGTTCATCTTTCCTGGAGATGATCTGTGAGATCATCCAGAAACTACATGATACAGAATTCATACGTATCACGCCCGTAGACCTCAAATCCATGCTTGATCAAGTTCGTGATCTGGAAACTGTAAGGATGGAGGTTGGATGGCTGCGTGAGAGGCTGGATGATATTTTTGAGGCCATGCAGCTGTTCAGGGGCTATAGCACCCTAAAGGAGGCACAGAGAAGAAAAGTTCCAGCCATTGAGAAAAAAAAGGAAGAGTTAAAAAGCATCAACATGGAGATTGTAGATTTACTGGAGAAGTTTGTATTTTTAAAGGAGAAAGCCGCCTTAGCAGAGGAGGAGCTGACTCCAATGAAGGCCGAGGCTGAGAAGATTGATGAGACAGTCTCAGAGACAAAGGCAAAAGTGAAATGTTTTTATCAAAAGTCTTTGGTTCATGGCCTAGTTTAGTTTAATCTCTGCTTGATAACTTTCGTGGTTTGTATTCGTTACCAAAAAACAAAACTTCTGTGGTTTTTTTTTATAATGCCTTTCGAAGGTAAATGTTTATTATAACTTATAGCTTAAGAACCATCTGGAGCTAACAAAGTGTACTATGTGTTTGCTGAGGTACAGTTGGTGTTTTGATTGGAATTCTTTTGCAAAGTATTAGCTGCTGATTGCATTTAGCTATGTTTAATTTGCCGTGTGATCACCTAGAAGTCGCCAGAAAAAAAAAATTAAAAATTAAAACAAGGAAATGCTAAATGAACTGTAACTGTAGTGACTATATGTATATATATGTTGTTTGGTTGGTGGGATTGTTGGAATACTTATTATCCTTTCGTTGGTTGAATCATCGTGTTTCTTTCCTTTTCTTTTGTGTGTTTGATAAATTAGATGTTCAAGTTAATGTTAAACTGGTGGTATAAATATTTATCTTTAGAGTAAGTGTGTTCATACATGCATAAATAAACACACACCCAGTTTTTGTGCAACTTCGAGTTGTCGCACTTCGAGTTGTCAATTATATCGTTTACGGAAATAGGAAACCAATTTGAGCAATTTCTGACACTTATTTTATTCTTATTCCCTTTTTTATTTTTCGTATCTCATGCAATAATCAGTGTTTGTTCATGAGAAATGTTGCAGACAGTCATCAGTTATACACCTCTATGTTCACGTTATCCTTGTTACTATATTCTTTATGCTCTTTTCCCTTAATTTCCACAAAAACCCTCGGCACAACCAAGTTTTTCTCCACAAATTGGTAGGAAACTGTTTCAGAAAAATTGAAGGGAAAAAAAATGAAATTAAGATGGTAACAGCTGTCAAACCATGAGAAGTGTACCAAAAAGGTATAAATTGCATTTCAGCATTCATAAATGAGAATTCTAGAAATAGAAGGTGAAAGAGAAACAGAGAGAGAGTGTGTGATCTTTGATTCAAAACAAAAAGAGGGGTAGAGAGAGAGAATCTCTGCCATTTTCTAAGACCAGGAGAGTAAGAAGGTTGCAGAGAGATAGAGAGAGAAAGAAGTCTTTGATTCAAAACTAATATATATATATATATATATATATAGAGAGAGAGAGAGAGAGAGAGAGCTCAAGAAAAGAGAGCAATGGGGAGGAATAGGAGAGCAAGAAAAAGAAGAGAAGAAGATGAGTCAGCAGAAACAGAATGCCAACAGAAGCCCAACAGTTCATCTGCTCAGGTAACCAATTTCTGTGTGTGTGTTTGTGTGTTTGATTCAGTGAAAAATACATGTGAGCCAATGGAGTAGAAAGTGCTGTGATTGGAAGAGGGTTTCTTTAGATTATGTGTGAAGATATATATGTGTGTGTGTGTGTGTGTGTATCTTGAGGTAAGAAAAATATGAGCTTATGGAGTAGAAAATGCTGTGATAGGAAGAGGGTTTCTCATGAATATATATATATATATATATATATATATATATATATATATATATCTCAAATACAGATTCATATGTCAATATATACCAGGTAGTTGAAATTTTAGTCTTTGTTTAATTGAACCAGAAAATCTAGTACAGCACATTGTGCAGTCAATTGATTTCTCACCTATCTATGTGAATTTGTGATGTTGAAGTTATATTCTGGTTAAATATGCTTAAATGTGACACACATTGCACACACCAAAAAAAAATTATATAAAAGGTTGTGAAAGCTTGATATGCATTGTTGCTCTCATTCCTTAATGTCTTAAACTTTCAAGGCAATGGTAGTTTAACATGGTATTTGGAATATTGCTTTTAGAAAGTTGTGTGAATTTGTGATCTTGATATTATTTTCTGGTTGTTTTCCTAAATATGCTTACATGTGACACAACATTGCGCACACGGAAAAAATGGTAGTCAAACGGTTGTGAAAGCTTGACATGCATTGTCGAGCTCGTTCCTTAATGTCTTAAACTTTCAATTCAGTGGTAGTTTAACATGGTGTTAGGGATTTGCTTTTAAAGTCTTCTGTGTTTGTATATGTGCCAGAGTACATGTATAAATCACCCTAATTGTGCTGAACCATAATCTCTACTCTTGGAAGGAACTAATTTGCCTTCGGGAAGCTCGACTCATTGTTTGAAAGTGTTGAACTACATGGTTAATTGGCAATTCACTTTTGTTGGTTCATCAAATGTGAATGTCAAGTGTTTGTCATTACAGCCATATATATGTATATAACTGGACTCTTTAGATATTACATACTGATTATTTGTTAATGGGTTATGAAATTCAACGAGTCTAGATTTCTTCATTGTTGTATAGAAGCTTTTGTAGTTATATGTTTGATCTCGAAATGCAAAGGTGATTCTTGGTCAGGTTTCTACCTCGAGATATCCAAAGCGAAGCCCCATTCAGAATCAGGTATAATGAAGAGCACTGCCCTTCCTTTTGACATATCTTCCAATTGTGTTTGACAGGATTTCTATTCTATTTAAGATATAAATTCCTAGTGGTTACTAGCCCACACATTGACATTCCACAGTAGGAATCTATTTGTTTTTTTTTATTTAAGTTTGCTTTTCATTCCTCTCATAGGCAACTCCCAATTATACTGGCACCCCAAGGTTGGCAAAGAGGGGGAAAAAAATCGACAACTTCAATTCTGTTTCAAAATCACATACAAGCACTGATGAAGCGGAATTGGAAAGTTTCTATTCCAAAATGATTTTCCCTGAAGCTCAGGCCCAACAAGCTGCTGCTCTCTCTGCATCCCATGAGGCTGTGTCTGACAACCATCGGCCAGTAAAGGAGGCTAATGAAGCCTCAAATATAATTGGGAGCAGACCAGAAGGGAGTGCCAGTAATTGTAATCAAAGGGAAGAGCATCTAGGCCAAACTTTTAGTCTTAACCTGACGGAAATGGCTGAAATGTTGGATGATGACTCTTTTGATCTCCATGAGGTTGGCACTTCTCTTGATTTGGCTTTGGTCACGGTTAATGGATACAGAGTGAAGCCGGAATGGGCATCTCTTCTTAACACTATATTTTTGAGGCATGGAGACATTGCTAAGGATTGCTCTCTTGTGGGTATTAGATCCCGTTCATCTCTCCTGGAGATAATCTGTGAGATCATCCAGAAATTACAGGATACAGAGTTCATACATATCACACCTGTAGAGCTCAAATCCATGATTGATCATGTTTGTGATATGGAAACCGTTAAGCTGGAGGTTAGATGGTTGCATCAGAGGCTGGATGATATTTTTGAGGCCATGCGTCAGTTCAAAGGCTATTCCAGCCTGAAGAAGGCACAAAGAAGAACAACTAAAGTCATTGAGAAAAAAGAGGAAGAGATAAAAAGCTTCAACATGGAGTTTCTAGCTACACAGGAGGAGATTCTAGCTTTGCAGCAGAAGAGTCTAACTTTAAAGGAGAAAGTCCTTTCAGCAGAGGATGAGCTGACTTCAATCAAGGCCGAGGCTGAGAAGATTGATGAGACGGTCTCAGAGACAAAGGCAAAAGTGAAATGTTTTTATCAGAAGTCTTTGATGCATAGCCTACTTTAGTTTAATCTCTGCTTGATAACTTTTAACCAAAAAACCAAACTTTTGTGGGTTTTTTTAATGTCTTTCAAGGTAGATGTTTATTATAACTTATAGCTTAAGAACCATTTGGGGCTAACAAAGTGTACTATGTGTTTGCTGAGGTACAGTTGGTGTTCCGATTGGCATTCTTTTGTGAAGTATTAGCTGCTGATTGCATTTAGCTATGTTCACTGTGATTGGAAACTAAAGTTTTCTATGGAATTCATTTCACACTCCTGTTTTAAAGCTGTGAAACTTAATTTAACTTGTAAAATATATCCTTTGCAGTTGTTGACTTGTTGGCCTATATTGGTTAATTTGCCATGTGCCTTGTGACGATCGCCTAGAAGTCGCCCGAAAAAAAAAAAAAAAATTTAAAACAAGGAATGCTGAAATGCACCGTAATTGTAGTGGCTGTATGCGTATATATTTGTTGTTGTCCTGGGGGATTGTCGGAATACTTATTATCCTTCTGTTGGTTGAATCATCTTGTGTCTTTCGTCTTTCTTCGTTTGCTTGATACAGTCAATGTTTCAAGATAATGTGGCTTGTTTCTTTTCCCTCTTCTTTTGTCTGTTTGATGCATTAGATGATGTTCAAGATTATGTATATTTTAATGGAAGTATGTCTATACCGGCATAAACAAACACCTAGTTTATTGTTTTTTCCTATTTCCATTTTCATTTCTCCTACAATAATAGGTATATATATGTTGATGAGGAATGTTGTGGACAGTCATTAGTCATTCACCTCTATGATAATGAAATTATTTAGTCCTGAATATTTGAGACTTTGCATAAGTACGAAAAGCCCTTCAATAGCTTCATTGTTACCTGTGGCATTGTTACTATTTCAAGTTCTAGAGTTATATTTTTATATGTTGATAGAATGTAGTAGCACAAACTGAATACTAAATGTGTTTGGAAGGCAAATGTTCTGTCATCTGTTAGATCACCAGTCTAAGTTTACTGTTTTTGGTTTCGAACTGGTTGCTGAGAGAGGATTGAATTTGCATAACCTGCAATGTAAGGTTTTCGAAGGCAATCGTTTAGAGGATGAATATGAAAGTTCGAATTACTGCTATTTATTTATTTATTTATTTTTATTTAACATGGACCAAAATCTGAATTAGGTATCTTGTTGTTGCATGGTAACTCACTGGGAAGCAACATTTTCTTGGATTGACAGTCTGTGTTTTTTTTTTTTCTGTAAAATCATTTTGATCATATAATTTCCCACTTTCTTAATCCATGCCTTTTATTTTATTTTTTCTGAGTTTAGTTATCAAAATTAAAATAATTTATTTTTAAAGGGACATACCCAAATTCTCATGAAAAGATTCACCAAAAGGCAATTATATTACCACCACAAGTCCACAAGACTGACTACGACAATACTGGGCAATTGAACTTTCTCTTAGAGAAACTAGGAAGGAAAAGAAAGCAAAAATATGAAAAAGAAAAAGAAACAGAAATGCAATCATGGTAGAGCATAATTCTTTGTTGCTGCTGTAATAATGCGGTCTTAAGTGTTGATCTTCCTGCAGTTCTTTCTGATCTCTCCCTTTGTACTAGTCAATGGAGAGATATTTGACATCTTGATCATGGACTTGGCAAATTGCTCGAAGAAAAGCTCGTTATTCTCTGCATATTTCTTCACTAACTCCATTGATGCTTGGTTCTTAGTCACTAGAACTTGGTCAGAACTTAAGAGGCCCTTTGAGGCTAACAAGTTCTTGAAGTAGCTGTTATCAAACTTTGTAGGAGTGACAAAGTCCAAGAAAAACAGGTTCTGGTCACCACCAGATCTTGGGCACCTTGTCCGCAATTGAGCAGCAAATGACTGCTCCAGCGCGGAGTCAGGTTGCCCATTCCCGGATTGATTGTAGAGCCTCTGCCTGAAACTGGTGCATCTTGAATTCCCAATTGTGTGACTCCCTGTTTGAGAATTGTCAACAGTAACAAATTTTAAACTGTCTTATTTATAGTACTATCTGTTATGCACAAAGAGTAATAAATTACTAGTATGTTAGAGAATGACCCAATAGTGTATATCAAACTCTTGACAATGTGTAGCTCTATTTAAGCTAAGTTTGACATTTTTAAAGCAATTGAAGGACTTTATGTCATAGTTTAATAAAAGACAAAGTTGTACATAAAATTACTAGCAAAGTTACCTGACAGTGCCACAAGATCAACTATGTCAAGCCCTTGGAACTTAAACTTGGTGAGGATAGTCTGAAATGTATTGTTTGGAGCAGGAATGTTGCTGTTTGAGCCACTCAAGCTTGCACTTCTGGAGTCTCTTCTTCCTAATGGGACCTCCCAGCTAGGTCCACCAGACTGTACAAACCAAAAAAAAAGATTGTTAGCTTGTGAATTTTAGCTAGGTAAGGGTACTTTGGTCATCCAAAGGCAAGGCCAGTCAAGAAACATATTGTAATATGCGTACCAGGACAGTTGAATCTCTAGCAGCTAGAGCCATGATATCAGCACAAGAGACTGTGTGAGGGCACTCCTTCTCCAGTGCAGATTTGATCTGGTCGATTACGTCGAACCCACGAGCCGAGTTCCGGTTTGGGACCGACCCCTTCTCGCTGATTATGCTTCCACCGCTGTCTAGGAGTATTGATGCATCACAGCCCTGCATGATTAAAAATGAGGGGTGTTTGTCATAATGTAGAAGATTATGCTTTATTTTCTGCTACTTTAATTATTTAATTTTGAATAGATTCAACTTGGTAATATGAATTCAGCCTAGTCCAAATCTTTATAGAGTTATATAATATGATTGAGTACTGTAGCTTAAGAATAGTAATATGTCATACCATGCTTTTATTTAGTTAGGACAATGATCACTATTTAGAGCGCGACATTCGGACAACTCATGTAAAAATAGTTAGAGCTGTTTGACTGTCAGACTCCATATCATGACTTTTTGTACAAACCTTGACAAAGCAATCGTGAAAATGGATCCTAAGCAGAGAAGCAGCCATGCGGGCTTCTTTGGCTACAGCCTTTGCAACGACAGACTTGACAATTTCTAGGGCTTTCGGACACGAGCCGTCGTAGAATTGTGGGTAGAGGTAACCCCCACTGGTCTTGTGAGAGAAGCAAAGTGGGGCAAGAGCGAGAAGAGTTGTGACCATGAGAAAGCTCGGGGACTTGGCCATTGTTGTGTTATATGCTTGGTGTTACACTTCTAGTAGTGTTATATTTCAAAGACTACTACAGAGGAAAGCTTGATGTGTGAAGGCTTTTTGTGATGAATATTGAGATGGGTTGTGGGTATTTATAGAGAAGACTTCATAGTGATCAAAGAGAGAAAAGAAGGATGGAGTTGGTAGCTTTTTAGTTATCAACTTTATGCTTAGTATCTGGTGTTTATTTATATGAATTAGTGAGTGAAATAAACTTTTGATTTTGCATGACTAATATGCCCTTGATATAGAAAATATAATCTGCATTATAATTCATATATATGGTTGATTTGGACATTCTAACCTTCTAAGCACTTGAATTATGACACTTTTTAAAAAAAATTTGCATTATTTTATTTTTTATGATTTTTTATGGTGGTTTGTGTTGTTATTAATTAGTAAATTGAATCTATGGTATCTTTTTGGATATGGATTTTCGTCTTCGTAATTTGACCAGTAATTTATGGACTGAATTCGGCCCACCATGGTATGATATTGTCCGCTTCCTCCCACGGCACACTCGCCGACAAGGTCGCCACAATCACCCCGCTTTGGGGGCCAACGTCCCTGTTGGCCACACTTCCGGCTAAATCAGGCACCCACTCTACCATATGATATGATATTGTCTATTTTGGATCTAAGCTCGCACGGTTTTGCCCTTGAGTTTTACCCCAAAAAGTCTCATACCAATTAGAGTGACACACCTACATAAAAACACTTCACATTTCCCTTACCTAGGTGATGTGGGATTGTGCACCCGTAACTCGTCTAGTGTGATAGCCTGTTAGTGCCTCACACCCGCCCACAAGGTTGCTACAATAATGTAAAACCCCAAAATTATATATAATATATGTGAGTCACGTACCAAATTTTAGTACAGGAAATGTTTTCTTGTGTTAGAAATTTTGGGGTGTGACAGTTTGGTATCAGAGTAAAGGTATTAGATTGTTTTGGGACATCGAATTATAATTTGACAGATTTGATAGAGTATTATTTTACTCATGATTTAAGCATATATGGACTAGATAAATATTTCTGTAAGATGTTATGACATGTGATCAAAGTGCGGAATGAAAACGTACAACATGATTGTAAGAGTGTAAGGCGTGGTTTACACTCATTTGGGAGTGGTTATAATATTTTAAAACATAAAAAAAGTTTTATAATCCTATAGAGTTCTATAGAATTTTATAGAAAGTTAAATGGCCATGTATTGCCTTTCGGATATTTTACATCTATTGGACTAAAACATCTAGAGAGCTAATCTTGTTACTTCATTAGATTGGTTAACCATTTGGTAAGAGAATGTCTATATATATGATCATAACGTAATGATTAACGTACATATATTTTTAGAATTCCTGATCAGATGGTCCAAATATAATTTTAAAGAAAATTAGTATGATTTAAACTATTTATGCAAATCATACCGCTAATGACAAATTGTCCATTAACTAGAAAATTAACCAATGATATCCATTCCATTGGGTTGGTAAATAGTAATAATGAATCAATCTTAATGATGTTATTGGAGTTAATTAGTCCATGAGAACGAATCTAAGGTTTTTGTTTATTACAGCTGATAACCAATGAAGGGCACAGTTGGTACTTTAATTATATTATATTGAGAAATTGGATCAGTCAAACAGGTCTTTTATCTTTTATATATATATATATATATATATATATATATATATGAAGGGCACAGTTGGTACTTTAATTATATTATATTGAGAAATTGGATCAGTCAACCAGGTCTTTTATCTTTTATATAGTATATATATATATATGACACATTGAAGACCAAGTGACTGAGAAAGAACCAAAAGTGGGAGTAGAAGCACCTGCTCTCTTGACAAATTTGAATGATCCAAAATTATTGATATTTTTTTTATATGTTGAAAATTGTATTTGTTAGGTGTGAGCGTGAAAAATTGATCAATCGTAGAACCTGCTCAAAACAATATATGAGATTGATTTCCTTTGCCCTTTTTCTTTAATCTGTGCTGGACACGTATCATTAAATTTCAATAATACACCACTTATTTAAAGTTTTAAGAGCTGTATGCAATTTTTTATGCATATATGCTTTATGAACTAAAGTCTTACCAATTATTCAATGTTTTATTATATTGGGGATGGATTCAGAAACGCAAGTGATGGGGGACAATTGTGAATTTTTTTAATAATTTTTTACTCATTCAAATGTCTCTTTTAGGAGCTTTAATAATAATTCAATTTAATAAAAAATAAAAATCAATTTTGTGCGTTTACTGCATATTTTTTATCCCATCTCTACAAAAACACATTTCAAAATGATCTTAGAAGGGCAATAGTGTAAAATTTGTGATTGTATGATGTAGAATGTTAATTTTCTGTCCATTGTTAATTGTGTTAGACTTTGATGCGACAGTTATGGTAACAAAAAGCGAGAGATATGCTATTGATTATTATTATCCAATAAAAGTATGATATATATATAAATATAGGCATCAGGATAATATGTATATATAAATATAGGCATCAGGATAATATATATATATATAAATAAATATAGGCAGAGTTGGAGAACTACTCCTCCAATTTGTCAATACAAAATGACAAACTCTAGGACTCATTCGATGAAAAGAGTAGTATACTATGTATTATATTCAACCTTTTGACCACAAGTATGCAATTTGTGATTGGATCATCATCATTTGAATGTACTACAATGCTGAACGTACACCCAACAAATTTGAGTACTACCATTGTCTCTCTATGTATGTGTATGTATGTATGTGTATGTATGTATATATATATATATATCTATCTCTGAAGGCAGACCCAAGCAAGTCAATGTTGTTTTTGTTATGTTACTTGTGTGGTCCTTTCTTGCTTGCGTTTATTACGCTGATTTCCATAATTTTATGAACAACCAGAGGACCATGGAGGTTGGACCATTCTTAACCATCATTTTGAGCTTATTGCGTGCCCAATGGTTCCTTCCAGAATTTTAACTGTTCGAAGTCAAACACGATTGCCAATACGGATGAAGATGCGTTGTAACATATATGGGTCTGTGTTAGATGTAACGACAATGAACGGTCCTTACAGTTACTCCAATAAATAGAGTCCAATAAGAACGAGAATAGACTAATTTATTAGAGATTGAGCCAAAATCTTTGTGGTTTTATTTCTCACCAATATATCGGTAGAAATTCAAACTTAAATTAAACTGAATCTATTATATTTTTTCTTTTTCTTTTTTTTTATTTATTATAACTTGGTCAAGCCACAAAGATTGATAGATATGAAAAAATTATTTTTGTTAGAGTAATGATATTTGTACCGATTTGTTATAATGAATTATCTAGCCGAATGTTTCTGATTGATTATTTATGCACAATACATGTAAGTGAAGAGCGCACTCTTTTATTTATATGAGTAAGTGAATTACTAGATCTATTTCTTTTAATTTGTTCATTTAGCATAAATAAAGAAGTGGGGTCTCCATTTACATGTATTGTGCATAAGTAATTAATCAGAAACATTCAGTTTGGTAATTCAATGCAACAAATCAGTATAAGTACCATTACTCTTTTTGTTATCCTATATTGTTAAACAGTATAAACCAAAGGCTATGACAAATTTTATGAGTCTTACAAGGTGTAATTTCATTTGTTTTTATGCCAATAAATTTGTAAATGAGTGAAATTATTCAAGCCGACTAAAGAGTCGCATTAACTTTCCAACTCTGTTTATGTTCTGAATTTCATAGTTGACGGAGTCTGCCTTATTATTTTTCTCTGTAAATTTTACTTAAATAGTTAAATTAGGTTATTAATCATCGTGCAATTTTGAAAGTTTAGATTGCTTGACCCAATCGTCACTTTTGAGTTTCGTTTTAAGTAAATTAGGTTATTAATCATCGTGCAATTGTAAATGTTTAGATTGTTTGACCTAATTATCACTTCTGAGTTTCGTTTTAAATTGGAAAAAAGAGAACCGCTATTTCTTGATTATCTAATTAGAGACACTTTTTTTTTGTCCGTGTTCTTGTTCTCTTATTATTTCTATCACTATAGATTTAGAGAGTCAGTCACATATCACACGTCTCAAACTATATCTAACGAGAAACGAAAAGATATTCAGTTGATTCCTTTTCAATTAGAAGTAATAGCTTAAGTTTGAGCTAGCATGAGAATGATATCTATAGTCTCTTCCAAGACACTTAATTCACAAAAACCAACATAAATAATTGTGTATTTATAACTAAATTGGATTTGACCATCTCCAGTGCAATGTAATTCGAGGACTTGAGAAATTTTGAATCACGAATGAACAAGAAATAATAGATTAAAGAGAAAATTGCATAACAATTTGATTTATTATTGATAATTGAATTGGTTTATTATATGTATATTTATAATAATAGAAAATCTAACCCTATAACAAAACTAACAGTATAAAGCAAAACAAACTAGCACTAAAAGTAAAAAATAAGACTAAAAATCAGCTTTATTCGAAAATTAGGAAAAAAAATAGATTAACAAACCTAATAACTAAAAATTACTAAATATAAAAATTCAGAACACTACAGCTTCACCTCCAAAACAAATCCCGAAATCTGTAGCAGTCTCTCTATAACACTAAAAAATTGTGATATCAGAATTTTAAATTAAGATTTTAAACTAACAAACGACATGACTCTAGCAAAAGCTATTGTATTTTGCTCAATGAGTCGCTACGAAAAAAAAAATGATCTATCCTATGGGTTAAAAACAAACTCATTGAACTAACAAAAATCTTGTCCTACAACAGTCCCCTAAAAAGATATACAACAAAAATAGTGAGATATTTTTTGTACCTTAAGAACTTGGGACTTGTGTGACCAACCTGTTACACGGTTACATGCGACTTGGGTGATTGTGACCTAGGGGTTGATATTGACCCCAACTAATCCACTATGAATTGGGGAACGCGGGTCTTAGAATTCAAACCGCCCTGAACTCTTCCATAAATTTTAAGCGTCCTAATCAATCAATCTATACTGATATAAGTCCAATCAGCTATTTGTAAAACCTATTTAATTAATTAAAATCCCTGTTTGAAGACTTGGGCAGGAACATTACACTTTCATAGCCAGATCAATTTTCAAATAACCAACAGAAGCACTGAAAAAAAACAATGATTTTTCTAAAAAAATCTAATAGTTTAGGAAGAAGGAAAAAAAAAAAAAAAAAAAAAAAAAGTATAAATTAACATGATATCATAATCAAATATTTCTTGTTCAAATCTCACCATTGTTGTGATAGTTAAAATTGAAAAATTCGTTACATCCTGTCAATGGTGGAGTCAGAAAATAATTTGAGAGGGGCCCAGGGGTGATTTTAAAGAATAATGAGATAATATATATATATATATATATATGATTACTTTTGTAATTAAAAAATATTTTTAACTTTCTAGATATTCTAATACAAAGAGTGAATCGATAAAAATCTAGCATTTGAAGTTGCATAGAGAGAGGCGAAGAGAAAACTCTTCTTCACTCTTTAAGTTGAGATATATTTGAAAAAAAAAAAAATACATATTAGAGAGAAGGAGAGAGTGATGAACTAGGGAAAAAAAAATAGTGAGAGCTTCATAAGTCAATATTATGAAGTTTAGAGAGGGAGATAGGGGGAATGATTGTGGCGATCTTGGGAGTAAAAATGTATAAGGGGTTCTCTTAGTGGGGGCGTGATTAGGATTTTGACAAAATTGGGTTTTGTTAGTGGGGGCATTTGCAGGATTCTGATAAAATTTTAGGATTATAACATAAATAAAAGAAAAATACAGTGGTGGCGGCCACCCCCACTAGCTCTTCATGGTTCAATGCTTCTACCGCCGCCACCACCACTACCACATGTCGCCACCACTGCCTTCCGTCACCACCACTATCACCTCCCACCACCACCATTTAGAATTGTGATTATCAATTCATTATAACATCACTTTATATTTACAACCAAATAAGAAAAATGAAAATGACCATTCCAATTCATTCCTATTATCATTTCACTCCTAACTTCATTCAATTTCCATATATTTCATTCATGTGTACCAAACTAAGCCTAAAAATTTAAGCTTTTGAAATAAAATATAACTTTTAATATTTAAATTTTCTACCAGATTATGAGTATCCATTCCCTCTAACAATTTAATTTTGCAAAAAAATAGTCTATGATCACTATTTGTTATAACTATAAACCACTAAAAAATATATATATCTAATAGGGGCACTTCAATTGAGAATTCAAACATAAGACCTTACATATCATGCTTACAAAAAGGGTGACGGCTCAATGATGCTCATAAACTGTGTTTCTCTTGAACAAGCCCTTGCAACAAACAGTACTGTTGATTAAACAATAAAACTTTTTCTTTTTTCTTTTTTTGCCTTGCCCCAGTTTGTGTATGTGCCATATAGCCCAAAACAAGTAAGTTACCTAAAAAAAGCATAACATGCAAATGAGGAGATAAGATCAGTCATGCCTATATGCAATAATATATATATGTAGCAGGCCATTTGCGAGTGTACTGTTTTATCTGACCATTATTGTGCTTTGATCATATGGCAAATTGAAAGCCTATGGATTGGTCATAGTAATTTTCGCAACTTGCATCACTAGTTGGCTGTTGTTACAAGTGTCCCATATCCAATATATGAATTGAGTGTCAGTCACATGCTTCTCACTTAATAATTTAAGTATTTGGATTGGATCGCAAAATACACATCCGTTATAATTGATATTAAAGTTAGACTTAATCTTGATTCGGCGTCACGCCAAACGTCCTATTCGAGGGCGTCTGGGTACCCACCCCAGGTAGGCAGGGTTGCTCGACTGTAATGAGGACGTTGCGAGATCGGGTGTGAAAGAATGTTGTAAGTGTACCACGTTAAATCCGAACAACTTAAGCTTTTTGATTGGATAGCGAAACACCCACCCGTTACTGTCCAATGGTTGGACATATTAATTTTCCATTGACTTATTTTTATTATAAACGGTCAAATGTAATAAATACTTGTATCTTTATAGATAAAGACTACCAAGATACCAACGGGCAAGTGGTCTAGCAGTATCGGCCACTTATCTCCCAAAAGAAAGTCAGGGATTCAAGTCTCAGAATAAACATGTGTGTGTGAGTACCAACTAGGAAAAAAAAAGATTACTAAGATCAATACCTCTCAAAGAGAAAAGTCGAGAGTTCAAATTTCCATAGGAGCATATGTGTGTATGAATTTCTTGTCATAATTATGATAATAAATAATTAAAAAAAAAAATCCAAACGAGATAAAGATGCTTCTTACAAATTATTCTCATGGAATGAAAAGTAGGAATAATTTATAAAGTGTTTGGTTTAAAGATGAGGAAAAAAAAAAAAAAAAAAAAAGACACTTAATCCCTTAAAGCAGTGTTTCATCAATCCTTCTTCTTAGAAGTAAACTAGGGAAAATATTTGTAGAGACAATTGTGTAATTACATTTCATAACAAATGAATTCTTACTATCATTAGTATAAAATAAAATATTCATTTTCTTTCTTGACATACTCTATCATCTTTTTCAAATATGATGAAAGAATATTACTATCATTTTCTTTTTTTCTCTTCCAAATTATTCATAAATCGTAACTCATTTATTGGAAAAATTAAAGACACATTTTTCATACTTTGAATATGGAGTAGTTCCATTAATTTCCTTTGCAATATTGGAATTTGACAATATTAATCATGCGCTTATGATCTGAAAGTCTTGAAAAATCTTTTCCATTCTTAGATTATATTAAAAGACAGAAATAACGTGACTACAATTTAAATTTTTTTTTTCATTTCCCTCCTTATTTAAATGCAAAGTACTAATATACTAATATGGTCCATCTTTTAATTCATTATTATTATTACTATTATTTTCAATTAACAAAAAAAAAAAAAAAAGTTTTACATTGCAATTTAATTAACCAAAAATAAAAAATAAAAAATAAAGTTAAAGAATCTTGGAATTTTTCTTTTTCTTTTTTTCAATTGCATAACATCAATTTTGTGTTTCCAAACATAGCCTTACTAGAATGAATGAATTGCAAGTTACATGTTCGGTTGGTCACTGTCACAATGTATTTTCGCATTCGAAGGAAAAACAAAGCGTTCAACAGAAATTTCTCCGTTCAGTTTCAACTTTCAACCAATTTCTCCATACACTATTCATTTCAATTCACCGAAGAAGAAGAACAAATTAGACATATATATATATACACACATATACATACAGAAACGTAACCGTCGATTCACAAAACCCCAAAATCTCTTTCCAAGTGTCAAGACTTTCACAGCCAAATGTACGCAAATCACCTCTCGGAACGAAACATCGAAACCCTAAAATGTCGAGGAGTCCAGTAGTGACGGAGATAATCACCGCAGCAGCAGAAGCAGCCTCAAACCCTAGAAATGGCGAAGCAGTCGGCGGCGGGATGGACTACAGCGTTCCAGAGGCGGCGTTTCTTGGCGCTTCTGGTCATGTTGTTGGTCTGCACCGCGATTGCGTTCATCTTGCGAGCCGCGTTCGAGTCTTCTTCTTCGTTCGATCAAGGCGGCAGAGGAAGCTTCGAGGAGGTTGTTCCGGAGAAACGATTCCGCTTGGCGTCGCGGATCGGAGCCGCGACGAGTCCGCTCAGCTTCATGAAGTCTAAGCTCGTTCTTCTTGTTTCGCACGAGCTCTCTCTTTCTGGTACTCTCTTTGATCTCATTCATCGAATCATTTATTGTATTGGTGTATATATGAGTGTTTGGTTTTATACATTTTAATCGACTAATCCATTTAATGGGGCTGGAAGATATAATTTTGTGATTGGAGTGCTATTACCAGTACTTTTATTTCAGTTAATGGTGCAAGAAAATCAGTGTTGCATGTAGTATGTAGTTCATAAGAGCTCCTAACTTTCTGCTACTTGATTATCAAAAAATGAAAAAGAAAAAAAAAAAAAACAAGAACTTTCTGGTACTCTCATGAAGCATGCTTATTCAAGGGATTGATTCTGAAGTTGTTCAATTTATTTACAGAAACTTTATATGTATTTATGTATGTATTACAGTATGTGTATGTGTATGTGTATGTGTATGTGTATGTGCATGTGCATGTATGTATATGTTTATGTATGAATATACAAGTTTGTTGATGCCTGTAGTATAAGCCATTAATGCAAATTGATGCTGAGTGTAGTTCTGTTGAAAGTGTGAGCCATTAATGCAGATTGATGCTGAGTGTTGTTCTGTTGAAGCGCCTAAAGTATGGTAACTGATTGAACTATTTGCTAAAAAGAAGATAAAAGGTAAAAATCGGGGGAAAAAATAATTGAGTAGAGAGGTGAAGAAGAAGAAATGGAAAATTTATGATTAGCCAATGTACTAAAACCAGCGACTCTAGCCATGCACGTTCACTGTGATTATATGCAGCGGCTCTAGCCATGCACGTTCACTGTGATTATATGCAGCTCAGTGGAAATACTATACTATAAAAAATATGTTTTAATACGATAAACACATGATGTTGAGGATATGGATGAAGTGTTGGAAAGTCGTCCAATTTTGTCGAGTTCCGTTTGTTATCCGCTCACACTGTTCTGCCAAATCTTGTTCCATTTGTAATATAAGAAGTTTATTAATTAGGATTTAATGTAGCAAAGCCATTATTACACAACTCGACAAAAGAGAAGTCTCATGTTATGTACAGATAAAACATTTGGCATGGTTGTGCAACCTCAAACTGATTAAAGTAGTTTAACAAGTTTATTTGGTAAACTTCCTTTAATTTTTATGAGAATTTTGTTCGATATGGTTGGCCTAGTATTAGTTTACCAAATTGATTGTTAGAGAATATACTCATTCATAGAAATGTTAACTTTGGTAGATCGAATATTACTTGTTTACCAAATTTATTGTTTGAAAATATAGCCATTTGTAGAAATGATAACTTTGGTTGATTGAATAGTCATTTATAGAACAATTTTTTCTTAAAATGTCATGTTTGTATCTGGTACTCTCATGAAACATGCTTATTCAGGGGATTGATTCTGAAGTTGCTCAATTTATTTACAGAAACTTTATATGTTTATATGTATGTATTATAGTATGTGCATGTGCATGTGCTTGTATGTATATGTTTATGTATGAGTATACAAGTTTGTTGATGCCTGTAGTTTGAGCCATGATGAGTGCAGATTGATGCTGAGTGTAGTTCTGTTGAAGCACCTAAAGTATGGTAACTGATTGAACGATTTACTTAAATGAAGATAAAAAGTAAAAATCGGGGGAAAAAATGAATACAGAGGTGAAGAAGAAGAAGAAATGAAAAATTTATGATCAGTCAATGTCCTAAAACCAGCTGTTCTAGCCATGCACGTCCATTGTTTTTATACGCAGCTCAGTGGAAATACTATACGACAAAAAATATGTTTTAATACGATAAACACGGGATGTTGAGGGTATGGATGAAGTGTTGGAAAGTTGTCCAATTTTGTCAAGTTTCGTTTGTTATCTGCTCACACTGTTCTGCCAAATGTGGTTCCATTTGTAAATAAGAAGTTTATTAGGATTTAGTGTAGCGAAGCCATTATAACACAACTCGACAAAAGGGAAGTCTCATGTTATGTACAGATAAAACATCTGGCATGGTTGTGCAACCTCAAACTGATTAAAGTAGGTTAAGTTTATTTGGTAAACTTCCTTTAATTTTTATGAGAACTTAGTTTGTTATGGTTGGCCTAGTATTAGTTTACCAAATTGATTGTTAGAGAATATAGTCATTCATAGAAATGTTAACTTTGGTAGATCAAATATTACTTGTTTGCCAAATTTATTGTTTGAAAATATAGCCGTTCGTAGAAATCGTAACTAAGGTTGATTGAATATAGTCATTCATAGAACAAGTTTTTCTTAAAATGTCATGTTTGTATCTAACTGTTGTTTCAGGGGATAAATTGTAAATCGACTGGGAGTTAGGGGATTTTGTGATATTTTGAGAGTTTAGGGGTCCTATTTGGTCCTTGTATAGTTCTTTTGGTCCCGTTTGAGCGCCTTTTATAATACTTTACTTATAAAAAAAAATCCTGTTGCAGTCTTACCTCCCTTTCCACCTTATCTACCAAAAAACTTAGAGTCTACTCTACTTATTATCTTAGAAACAAAGCACGAGTATTCTTTTTCCTCCTCTTGTATTTCACTATTTAACAAAATTTCCAGGTGGGCCATTGTTGTTGATGGAGCTGGCATTTTTATTAAGGGGTGTTGGCGCTGAAGTTTGTTGGATTACAAATCAGAAACCATCAGAAACAGATGAGGTGATATACAGTTTGGAGCATAAGATGTTGCACAGAGGAGTACAGGTTATATATTCTTCATTTTGTCAAATTGTATGCATATGCATATGTTACCCTGCTTCTAGCTTTTGTGCCTTTTATCAACAATGACATTAGACTTTTCATGATATAGAATGCTATGACAAAAAGGTGCTATTTTTGCTTTCTTGATTATTAATTTTTTCTGTGCATTTATGCTACAATTCGTTGTATGATTTCTGGTTGAGAAACAAAAGAAGCCAAGAATTTGGGTGGTCTTTTTTTTACTTTTTATTTTAATGTTTATGGTTAAGCTTATTATTTATGCTTCCATGATGTCACTAGAATATGAGTTAATCTTAACAGGTCCAGATTCACCATACTCATGGGTTTGGGAGTTCAGTGTTCATTGATTTTCGTTTAAATGAACGTGTAAAGTTGTTAAGACCGACCTTCTTTAGGTTTTGAATCCAACATAGACTACATGGGGGAAGTCTTTATATTTTTGCTTTAGCCACCTTCTTATGGCTAAAGTGAAATATTTCATTTTTCTTTTCTTGTTGCTATATGATATCGCGTGATGGCTGAGAATCACACTGCATTAATAAAATGATGCTGAAAAAAAATGGTTGTACTTATTTGATTTTTCTTGATAAAGTTAAAATTGATAACTAAAGTCTTAGGCAGTCAAGGTGCAATGTTTAATTAATTCAAGATAACAGCTCAAACTCATGTTGGATGTTGCTGTTTTAATATATAACAGTTACTATTATGATGGCTCATGTCATATTTGTTCATGTCGATGCCCAGTTGTGTTTTAGCCATATTTTCTTTTTGTATATAAAATGCATTTTGGGGCCATTACTTGGGGCAATGGTAAAAGTTTGGGCTGTCAAGTGTTAGAATACATGTATCGAGTATGAGGACAGTCACATTTATGGCTAGAGGTTTGGCTATGCTCACTCACCCTCCTGGCAACCTGAATAATCAAGGCAATCATCAGATGATTACCGTGATATTTAACATCATGTTGTAATGTTATGATCCCCGAACTCTGAAGCAGTCTTTGTTAACTTCTACTCTTGGGCAAAACATCAAGATGTCCATATGGAAAGTTATACGTTGTTCTTCATATTTAACTACAGCCTTCATGGCATTCTATGCTGCTTTTGATTGGTGAACTTGCTTTCTCTTCTTGTTAAAATTCTCCTGCTGGCTGCTGCACAACCTTTTACCAATTTTTTATTATGGCTTTTCACACGTTGTCAGGTCTTCTCTGCTAAGGGTCAGGAAGCTATAGATACAGCTCTAAAAGCTGATTTAGTTGTATTAAACACTGCTGTTTCTGGAAAGTGGCTGGATGCTGTTCTCAAAGAAAATGTTCCTCGTGTTCTCCCAAAGGTGTTGTGGTGGATCCATGAAATGAGAGGTCATTACTTCAGAATGGAGTATGTCAAGCACCTTCCTTGGGTTGCAGGTGCTATGGTTGATTCACACATAACAGCAGAATATTGGAAGAATAGGACTCAAGAGCGCTTAAGGTATGTTCTAACATTAAAATATGATCTTTTATTGTACTCTTTGAACTGGTATGAGTGCATCTCTTTGTTGCAATAATTTGACAACACTTTTTTAGATGTCTTTTAACACATTCTTTGAGATACAAAGGACAACATTTCAAGTAATGTGCAATCCATTGATGGTTATGGGGTTGTTTGGTAGTCGTTTTTGTTCTGTGTTCTGTTGCCGATCCGGTGAAAATTGAAACATGTGGCAAAAACACTTTTGGTAACGTATTGTTACATTTATGTTTGGTAATGTAAATGTTATGCACATTTAGAAGACAATAAGTGGGTAAGTGCCAAGACCCTAGCTTTGTACATTCAACCTCTGTGCTCTAGGTTTAGTATGGGCTTAAAGGCAATGGCTTTGTGCTGTCATTGTGTGTTATTGTTCTCTCAATTAAAGAATGTTGTTGCCTACTTCTGCCCCTCATGCAAACTTGTTGGCTTATTTGTCTGCGTTTTTGTTGCTCAAGTTCATTGTCCCTTTTCTCTAGATTATGGTTCACAGGTTGAGGTTGCCACCTTAGATTAATCCTACGATGTGTGTGTGTGTGTGTGTGTGTGTTGGTGGGGGGGGGGGAGGAGGAGGTTGCTGGGTTTGATGACTATGGTTGGATTGGAAAGTTCCACCCTTTATGGGCAATGTGTGAATACATGTCTTGTTTTCATTCCATGTTTCACCATCCTTGATTCCTGCATAATTTACTGGTAATCATTTAAATATATATTCCTCCCTTTTTCTCTTACTCTGCAGGATTAAAATGCCTGAGACATATGTTGTTCACCTTGGCAATAGCAAGGAACTTATGGAAGTTGCTCAAGATAGTGTGGCAAAAAGGGTTTTGCGAGAGTATGTTCGGGAGTCTCTTGGAGTGCGAAATGAAGACATAGTCTTTGCTCTCATAAATAGTATGCCTTCTTCATTAATGAAATTGTATTTTGGTTTATATCCATCCTTTTATAGGTTTGAGTGGTTGTGAATAGTATTACCTCCTATTGCTTAGATCAAGAACCTCTTTTTCTAAATCTGTGTTCTGAAGTGAGTTTTCTGGTCTGAGTACTTAAGTTCCACGTTTTAGCTTCTCTGGTTACGATGCTGACTTCACCCATTTCATTGAAGAGAAATGCTAGATGTGGTTGAGTACTTATTTTTCACTTCTTGTTCGTCACTCTTAGATGCACGAATTTATCTGTTTGCTTTTATCCTGATAACTTTTACCCTTCTCTATATCTAGTTATGCTAGTGCTAATATTTTTGCATATTTCAACTTCTCACTACATTATTATGAAATTGCAGGTGTTTCACGTGGAAAAGGCCAGGATTTGTTTCTGCGTTCTTTTTATGAGAGTTTGCAAATTATACAAGAAAAGAAGTTGCAGTTGCCATCAGTGCATGCAGTAATTGTGGGAAGTGACATGAATGCTCAGACCAAGTTTGAGTTGGAACTTCGGAACTTCGTGATAATGAAGAAAATCCAACACCTTGTTCATTTTGTAAATAAAACTCTGACAGTAGCTCCTTACCTAGCTGCGATTGACGTTCTCGTTCAGAATTCCCAGGTAAGCTGTATCTCACTGCTACTTTTAGTTTACTAATTATTTTATAAGCAATTGTATTTGTTTTCTCTCCATGACATGCATTTTTTATTTATGTTTCCATCTATATCAGTTGATACACTATATCACTAATGTGCCACCACCACTCTAGGTATGATAGTGTCCACCTTTTACTATCTAAGGTTAATTTTTGAGGAAATGGAGACTAAAAATAGGGTCGATCAAGATAGATTAAACGAGTGTGTTGCAGGCACCCCTTCTCACTCGCTCACACTTGAATGTTGCTTGACCACTGCTTCACTATTATGTTTCTACTTGAATTTTTTATATTAGTTGATACAGTATATACCATTGTGCTACCACCAATGCGACTTAAAAAAAGAATAGAAAAAAAAGATTGCCCTTTAAAGAAAACCACCTTTAAATAATTGAGCGGGTGTTAGTCTGAACTTTGAAGTCATCTGATTCTGTTCAAGGGTGGTGGTATGGATCTGGATTCTCTTCTCAATTCCTTCATGGAATTCTGTGAGTGCCGTTGTATATCTACGCAAATAGGGTTTATCAAGATAGATTTGTAAGCGTGTATTTATGGAAGGTGACATTTTGGGCAGCCCCGTCATATTTAGCTTGCGTCCTGCTTCATTTCCTTTTCTTTTCAACGAAAAAGGAAAATGCTAAAGAAAGTAGTGACACAGGAAAAGGATAGCATGTATGTGATTTGTATCACATTCCATCGTGCATTTAGCCCAAGTGGTATAACCGCTTCCTCCCACACGGGAGGTTGAGGGATCAAGCGCATTTGTGAGTGTCTTATCTACTAAAAAAAAATATTTACTAATATGCAAGACATACATGCATTTAATCAAACTATCTTATTACTGGATGTGTGTTAATAAGAAGCAATTGCACGGCCAAAATGGAAAAAATAATTAGAATGGGAAACATCCTTTCTTGTGGTTTTTTTTTTTGTTTTCTTTCAGACCTTATGAGTAATCTGCTAGGAATACGAAAAGATGAAAGTTGCAGTTCATGTCTGAAGACTCCAAACCAAGGAATTGCTTATAGAAAGAAAAGGATTTTTTTTTTTTTTCCAAAAAATCTCATGCTTCTAGTATAGTATAATAAGAAAGACATTAATTTCTAAATTGGTCATGATGAAATGAATTCATGGAAATTAATTAGTCTTTACTAGCATAAGTTGGTTGATTAAACTTTGCAGAGGATCTCCTGTGAGACTGGTAATGGCAATCATGCTTTCTTTTGCTATTTTAGGGCTCGGTGTTTTGAGGGATATATTTCATTGAAATGGCTTATTAATGTATGGAAAGAAGGGTAATTTAGAAATTTCATGATTAGGAAGGTGTTCCCCGAGACAGAGACACGTGATACACATTTTGGTTGACGGTTGCTTCTGGCTGGTATTATATATTTGATGCCTTTGATCTATGGACGTTAGGAATACCCACTCTATTGTTTCATTGTCTTATTAGTTGATTCTGGACGTTCATATTTGTTCCCGTCACATCTTAAATTTATATCTCAGCTTCTGTATTAGAAGATTACTTGGGATGCCGAAATCTAGTTTCAATGCTAGATTTTATTAACTTATTTTTCTTTTTTCTCTCTCTTCCTTGTAGGCCCGAGGAGAGTGCTTTGGAAGGATTACTATTGAAGCCATGGCATTTCAGTTGCCAGTATTGGTAATTTATTTCCCCCTCTTAATTTGTTATTTTTCTGTCAGGCTGTTGATGGGATTGTGATAATATCGATTACATGTCTTGTTTTTTTCCCCTCAACTTTCTTGTCTTACCTATAATATCGTTTTTTGTAACTCATTCAGGGAACAGCAGCAGGAGGCACCACAGAGATCGTAGTAAATGGATCAACGGGCTTACTGCATCCTATTGGGAAAGAAGGGGTCACTCCTCTAGCAAAGAACATCGTCAAACTCGCCACTCATGTTGAGAGGAGGCTTACCATGGGAAAGAGAGGCTACGAGAAGGTTCGAGAAATGTTCTTAGAACACCACATGGCGGACAGAATCGCTGCAGTTCTAAAGGAAGTTTTGCAGAAAGCTAAGATTACCAACATGCGTAAAGGTTAGTTAGTGTGGTCAGTTTTCTGAAACTGAAAGCTTATATGTATTGCACCACCCAAAGTTTCTCCGTTTTCACCTCTTCTTCGTTTTGTTGTCTGCCCTAATGTAGAATGAGCTAAAAGTTATGTGTATAGAAAAACAGTATAGTGGCTTGTTCATAAGCTGACATTGTCAACAAGGTTTATGACAGTATGCTAGTGGGCTGTCAACAAGGTTTATGAGAAAAGCTTTTTGTTATAGAAAATGGAGGGTTTTGTGAAGTAACAGAAAATGGAAATGGTAACAGTAATCGATATTACCTATAATTACTTTTAACAATTACCTTTATCAATGCTTTTTAACCGCAAATGCAGTGCAATTGTACAGGGTTTTTGATTGAGTGGTTTGTAGAAGATATTGTTTGTTTGTTTGTTGTCTCAAGTGAAAATACACTAGTACATTCCATTTGATAGTACAGTCCATTTGAAAGGAGTTGAAACTCTTGGTAGTAAATAGTTTGTTGTTCCATAATTGAATTACCAATTTACCTGCTAGTAGAGAGAACAATGGAACCTCGAAACGACCCCAGTGGTACTTCTCGGAAAGAAGACACGAGTTCCGCGCTGTAGCTCTCGGGCAATCCTATCTCCGGTGGGCGGCCTCAATAGCGGCTGGATCTACAGCCAAGTCCTTCATTTCCCTTGAACTTTCATTCCGCTATTTAAGAACGCGTGGGAACCTTAACGGCGAGGGACCTAGGGGCAGTAGGAGAATGCTTTATGAGAAAAAAACCCTCTTCAAACTCAAAAATGTGTTAGAAGGCAAGTCCAGACTTTCTCTGACCAGAATAGTGAATCAATCGTACTGCTACCTTTGACGGCGAAGAAGAAGCTCTGTTATTACTATTACTATATTTCATTGCCCTTAGACATAACCCCCATGTCGGGTAAACTTCATGACTAAAAGGAGAAGCGGAGGCTTATGATTGGCAAGGCAGATTTGTCGAACAAACGCCCCCGTCTTGCTTAATAGTAGATCTATCCTTAACCTTCACAAATCAAAGTTCCGAAGAATCTGCTAGATAGTCACAAAACTTTCCAACACCTAAGGGTTCATTCCCAGAAGTGGCCTCGACCCAAGCATCAAAGAACAGGTTTGATCACTATCACGCTAAAGTCACGCATAGACGGATAAAGAATATTATGGTGAGCCTGGAGGATTCCAATGGCATCTGGAGAGAAGATGGACAGGAGGTTCAAAATCTTGTCGAACATGTTTTTCAGCAGCTTTATTCGACATCAAACCCCATGGATGCAATTCATATTACGGATTTCATTCACTCGAAGGTGTCTACAACTCAGAATGACTGGCTGCTTCGAGTAGGGACGGAAGACGAGATACGAACAGCGCTTTTCGAGATGACCCCGCTCAAGGCCCCTTTAATTAAAGCAAGCAAGCGTATCAATACTAAGTCATTAATGTTCTTATCGATGATCAACACGGGAGAGGAAGATGGTGATGAGGAAGAACTTAAGTCAGGTAAGCTTAGAAAGTAAAGCCAGAGACATCAAAGGAAGGGACCGGTGAGAGAGGTCCCAGTACACGACGCCGGAGTGGTGGCAGTAGGATAGCTCTAATAAGGGTAGGCTTCTTTTCCTTCATCTCTTCTCTTTCTTATTGATTCTGACGTATATCACTTTCTAAACCGGGCCGTCAGAATTTAACCTTAACGTATCAGGGTAGTACGCCTTGAATAATCAAATAAGGTTTTTCTCTTTCTAGATAATTTGAAATTGTTACAATGAGAGACATGAACATCAGTTACGACCTTTTTTCACCCACTAACTCTGTCCTCTCAATGCAACTCCTGGGCCAGTTCTTTTGGGTTTTCGCGCTTCGATTGTTGTTTCCCCCTAGTGGGCCTGAGTATGTCATGGGCTACAGTTTCTGAAAATATAAGGTCTTATTTGATATGTAATTGTCATAACAATTTCTTTTCACAGTAAAACTGTAAAAAAAAAAACTGTTTTGGCTTGGTTTAATTTTTTGAAAATTCAATTATAAAAAAATTTGTATGTAAATAAAAAATATTAAAAAAAAAAAAATCCGTTTTCCGAAAACAAGAAAATTATTATTAAAATTACAAACCATGCAAGTTTTAAATTCTTAAATTTTTAAGAAGCAAAGTGAAAGAAGGAATTAGAGAAAAACCCAACTATAAATCACAAAACAAACGTCCATGAAAGAAGACGAATTAGATAAAAACCCAACTATAAATCACAAAACAAACGTCCCTAAAGTACTTAAAAAGACCACATAGCACACATTTAACACAGGGTGCAGTCATGTAACATTAATACACCACTGGCATCCTGCTTATTAATTAATTACACATGCACTTCGTTTGTAAAGTAAACCTTCACACCCTCCAAATACAAACGAACACACATGTAGCTGTGTATTTTATATGTAACCTATAAGACACACGCACACACATACATATATATATGAGCTGCTACACCATGCGAGAACACCTCTAGTAATGGTGATTCTGGTCCTGATGCTGGGCATGGTGTCCAGGAAGCTTCTCCTTGATCTTCTCCACGACACCTTTCTTCTGATGCTGCTGTCCTCCTCCGTGGAGGTGACCGGTGGTGGGTGCGCTGGTGGCCGTAGTGTGTCCTCCTCCGTAACCGTGACCAGTTGTGGGTGCGCTGGTTGCCGTAGTGTGGGACTGCTTCATACCAGGAATCTGCTCCTTGATCTTCTCCACGATACCTTTCTTCTGATGCTGCCCTCCTCCTCCGTAGCCGTGACCGGTGGTGGGTGCGCTGGTGGCCGTAGTGTGGGACTGATGCATACCAGGAATCTGCTCCTTGATCTGCTCCACGACACCTTGCTTCTGATGCTGCCCTCCTCCTCCGTAGCCGTGACCAGTGGTGGGTGCGCTGGTGGCCGTAGTGTGGGACTGATGCATACCTGGAATCTGCTCCTTGATCTTCTCCACGACACCTTTCTTCTGATAATTTGCCATACCTTCAACGCTAAGAAAAAACTGAAGAACTCACAGCAGAGACTCTGAAAAATAAAGGTTTATAACTATCCTTTTGCTTCGATGGGTGTGTGTAAAAATGAGTTTGATGTAGTGTAGATTGTAAACACATTCTCGAGTTTATATAGGAAGTTAAAGTGGGTAGAGGAAGGCAGGTTGCATGCCACGTCATCGGTACACGTGTCACGTTTGTGAAGATAAGTGACGGAGGTTAACGTGGCAGTGTTACTGGAAGGGCACGTGTTATATGGTGTCGGTAGAAGATAAGATGGATTAATCATCTTTTTACAAGGATAAGAACTACTCCGTACTTTTTTTTTTTTTCAACAGATAATATCTACTTAATAAATGAGACTTTCAAATTAAAAGTTAACTTTATTTTAGAATAATAGGGAGTAAGCATTTTGAAAAAGATTTACCTACTTTATAGGATTGGACTTATTAATTTTTGTTTGTTGCATTCTATATACACAAACATATATATATATATATATATATATATATATATATATATATATATATTCCCTTCTAGATATAGAGCTTACTCCAATAACGTGTCAATAACGTCACTACTTGCATCATGCTGGATGAGGGCGATCGACTTGGTATGAGTGGCTCCTTGACCGGCCTCAGAGGATTTGATTCTCACTACTGGCATGGCATGTCGATCATATCTATATATTTTATAGATATATTATAAATATTATAAAATGTTATAATATCATACAATTATTACAAAATTGAAAGATACAAATATTATTTTTTTTTTAAAGAAATATCTAAATAAAAATAAATTTTAGTAAAATATATTGGTATTATTTTTTTTTTAAGATTTCTATTTTTATTTTGATAATTACCTTTTTATTGTTATAGTAGAAAAGGAAATGTCACTATTGTCCCCTCTCACAAAATTTTCTAAGTTCGTCGGTAGAATTGCAATTCGGACGGGTTAGACGAGTTTGAGGTATAATTTGAACCCAATTCATCATCTAAAATACTAAACCTAAGCCCAACACCCACCATCCTTTTACTTTTAAATTTGGACTTGCATCATGCTTAAATTTCGGATAAAAATTTCAAGTTAATTCGGATTACTCATATAACTAATCCTTACATAATTTAAGAATTAATTTTAAATTAAACTACTCCTAAATAAGAAAAAGTTTAAAGACTTTTTAAATTTTTTAATAAATTACAAACAAATTTTTAAAAAATTAATTATTCTAAATATTAACATACAATAAGTTAAAATTTAACAAAAGAAGTTAAAAAGAAAAAAATAATAATCATAGTTTAAATATTATAAATAATATATTTAAAAATAAAAATATATATAAAAATAATATTATAATTCAAATTCAGGGTTTGCTCGAGTTGTTAACACTTCAACTCAAGCTCAACCCTAATTAAATTTGAGTTGATATTTTTCAACTCAAGGCCAATCCTAATTGTAAAAATAATTGCACAAACTCATATAAAATCAGGCTGAACTAGCGTTGGGTTCGGGTTACTCAACCCAGTATCTATCAATGTCAGTGACCCTAAATATAAAAATTGTTCACTTTGAATAATTCTTAGATTTTGAAGGATGTTAAGATTTACAATAGGAGTGACTAGGAAAAAAACAAAAAGTTACACCTAACTAGTAGACTAAGGTTGTATAAATGCACCGGTGAGAAGAGAAAAATTAAGAGCCACACTCAAAATTATTACTACTTCCATTCTAAAAAAAATATTGCTTTTAAAAAATCGTAACAATTCAATTTGTAAAAGTCACAATTTTTCAAAAATGACACTTTTATAACACTGAAGGAGTATTGAATGAAATCATTAGAAATGATCTTACAAAATTAAATATTAGAGGACAGATGAGATATAAAGGAAAGAGAGAATTCATTTTTTTTAAAAGGATAATGAATAATTTCATTTTTTTTTTAAGGCCAATCAAATTATATAGTTACGAGGAAGTTTGTTACAAAGAGAGGCCCAATAACGGCGGAACATGGGCCTTGCCCAAAGAAAAAATTGAAGTGATGAAGAAAGGATAGAATCTACCATGAGGCCCAATGGTGTACATTTGGGCCAACCACCTCTCTAATCTTCTTGAGAACTGCTGAACAGGACACACACACACACACACATATATATATATATATATATGTGATCCGATCTCCTTTGAAAAATCGTGACTCAATCATGGCTATCCTAATATGACACTCATTTTAGTACAGACGGAGGAAGTATATAATAATTTCGACCTTCCAATTTTCACTTTGGCATTGATGTTCGTTTATGATTAATTTCTCCATGTAAATTAATATTAGCACATCCTCTTTGTAATCCCATATATAAACACACACTTAACACAACGTCAAGTGATGCGACACACAACACATGTATATATATAATGTCTATTAAACCTTCAGTACTCCTCACCCCACCCTTCAAATACATACACACATACATATATGTGTTATATAATATATATATATATATATATATATATATAAGCTGCTACACGGAGGACACGTAGTGATGGTGATCTATGGGTGTCCAGGAAGCTTTTCCTTGATCTTATCTTTCAACCCTTTCTTCCTTCTATCACCATGTCCATCATCCTCCGACTACACACATATATATATATACAAGCAAAATATAAGAACTAATTCACGCCTATATATATATAATATAAGGAAGTTTCTAACACGTTATATATATATACATGAAACTAAAAATATATATATTACCTAGCATCAACCGGGTCAATCGGGGTGCCGTATTCATTTTTTCGGGGAACCGGGTTTCCATATCTACCCTAAAATTAAACTGAAACTAAATTGAGCAGATCGAGAGAGAGAGAGGAAGAAATTTGAAAACTGGTTTATAGCTATTGGATATATATATATATATATATATCTATCTATATAAAGGGAATTGAGTTTATATAGGCAGTCAAAGCTGGTTGAGGAGGTCAAGATGTCACGTGAAAAGTACACGTGTCACTTGAGTAATTACTTCTATTGACACGTTAGGGTTGGAGGTTACGTGGCAGTCGTGTTAGAAGGAAAGTGTAAATATAGTGTCGGTTGGAGATTAAAAAAATAAAAAAATAAAAAATAAATAAATAAAAGAAGATAGGTCCATTGTCTTTGTACGCAAAAAGCATTAAAACAAGAGGATACACTTCACCATGCAAGAGTTGGACTTACTGAAAATTTTTCGATTTATATTATTATCTATATCTTTTGTTCAGAATTTTAAAATTAATGCCTATATTTGAATTTGTAAAAATATCCACTTTATGCTCATGCGTAGAGTGACTTAATGTAGATAAAAAAATGTAGCGTGGAGTGACTTAATGTAGATCAAAAAATATTCATCTGTTTTTCACTCTATATTATAAATATTTCTTTACTTTCTACTCTTTTAGGACATTCATGATAATCTAAATATCTTGTACATAGCTAAAAGGTTAAAAAAAATAAAAATGTCACACTTACACATATTGAACATAGGTCGGCATATTGTGGGATTTATTGTTGTATGTTTATAAAAATTATTTATTTCCTCCTTCCCAGACAAAATTCTTGGGTCAGTCATTGGATTGGGCAAATGGGCAATAATATAGTGAGTATTTTTTTACTTATCAAAAAATATATATATAGTGAGTATTTTTTTAAAAAATAGTGAAGGTATTTTTAAAATTTTAGTAAAACTATAGATCATAATATAAAAAAAAAAATCAATGGGCGGATGCTTACACTCAAGCTCTTTTTCTTGACTAAGCTAAAGCGTTGGTAGAGATATATAATATAATATGATTCCCTAATTAAATACTGAATTAGAACCATAAATTTCACTCAAGGATTTATTTTGTCCTTGTATGTCAAGAGTGACATATACTTCCCATAGTACCACAATTGGATTGAAGACTTTCAAGAAGAAAAAGTCCAGCATGAGCGAGAAAAGCGTGTCAGTTTAGACAAGATGGTTGCCTGGGAACCGCACAAGGGCTCATAATGCATGTGCTTCGGTCACAAAAATTAGTGTCATGTTTCGAGAATTGTATTAAATTTATAAGAATAGTAATTCTTTAAAAATAATATTTTTTACGAGAAGAATTATAAAAACCCTAAAAATAATATTTTTTATAAGATGAAAGAAGTAATGGAGCAATATATATAATGATTGTGAGATCCCTTAGGTGGTAGCAGGCAAATCATCCTTGGCTACCAAACAAGACTCTTACCTTTCATGTAAGACCTCTCTTCCTCTCTCAATCCACATATGTTAACATACGTGAGCCGCAAATGCTTGGTTTCAATCACTCTAAAATAGACTCAACCTTTAATTTGAAAGTCACATCTACTAAATAGTTTGACGCTTGATATTTTAGTCCAATTTAATATCTTCTATTAGAAAGGTAGATCCATAAAAATGTAATAATATATTACCAAAAAAAAAAAGCTTTGACTTTAAACTATTTTCAATTATTGAATTTTTTTTTCTTTTAAAATTGTTCATTGTAAGAACGAATAATAGATAAAGTAAAACAAATACATATTATTATTATATATATATATATATATATATATAATTTTATCTTATATGATAATGACTTGCCATTTACAAATAACTTCTCGTGTATAAATCTTCATGAAAAGTAAAAAAAAATTAAGGATTATTACATATAAATGAGGTTAGGGCTCCATATTTACTAAGAGGCTGAGTCAAGGTCAAGTATTTCTCTAAAATGTGTTTGACCCAAAAGCTGAGGTGGCACATGAAAAAATACTGTTTATAATGTGTGTTACCTAAAATGCCCTTCTTCCTATTTTATGTGTTGCCTAAAATACCATTTTCTATAATGACCTAATTGCAAGCCCTAAAGCGCCTCTTTCATATTCCATTCGTGCAAGCAGCCCTCAGTCTTCCCCTTTCTCTGTAAAACGATCAACAAACCCCTAACCTTAACATTCCATTCGTGCAAGCAGACTTTTTTAGAGAGGGTTTTCAAAGAATCCCCAATTCATTCTTATCCCTTTTTCATAGAGTTTGAGGGTGAGGGAGAGCACATTTTTAGAGGGAATGTATCGATTTTTAAGAAGAATTCC